AGATTCTTTATTGTTACACCAACATATAAAAATAATGTTTTTACTAGGGTCTGTGAACAAATATTACAATAATAAATCACAAGATTACTTCTGATTGTTGTCTCCTGACTTCTTTCTGAACAGCGACCGTTGAGACGATGACTGTCGTATTGATGCCTCCGTGAAAATTGGGGAAGTTGGTTTTGAGCACACAACAATGAATTGATCGTTCAATCTTCAACTACATTGAGAACAGTCATCTTACCATGATTGTTTATAATGTTATTTGAGAACAAAATTATACATTGTTTATTTAGCTAATGGACAGACAAAAGCATAATATCAGTTATAATGGAATATCGATCGATATACACATAGAATTATATAATATACTGTCAAAAACAAAACACATCATATGGATCCATATCAAATCCATCCACCAAAGACCTGGTTTCTTTAATGCGAAGAGAATACTTCTGTATTTCCTGATGTGTTGCACTCACCGACAATCTAGCTGAGTTTTCCGACTGTGCACAGAGATGATTGTATATAGGTGAAAAACTGTTTTATACTACTGTGATTAACATTTATCAAGTGTATTTATAATCTCCAGCGAACATGCAAAAAGCGCATCTTGCTACATTCTGTAAATTTTGATTGAATTATATGGTTCTATTTCTGTAACAGTTTGATGATGCCTGTAACTTGGTGTCCTTCATGTACTGTACTGCGCTAAGAGTTTGTTTTTGGAACTGATAGCCATAGGTGGGCAACTCGAAGGCGCGAATGGTTCGATCATGTACAAGTTCGACGAGGATGACCGAAAGCGAATAAAAGTGCTGCATAATTTTGTATAAAACATTCGTTTATAGACTTTTACTGCTCTCCGCTATAATCGCCGAACAATATAACTTCCTTCTTACAATACTGGTGTTTTGGAGTTAAAGTCGAAGAAAATACATAGTATTTATGGGTGCGGAGCGTCTTCGTAACAATGGGAACTAAGGGATAAGTTCCTTGACAGAAGGTTATCACGTAATTGCATTCATTACAGCGATTTGCTTGAACCAGTGTTGTACCTGAATTTCCATTTAATAATATGTTTCAAACTTTGCTTTGTTTCTAATTATGTTAGTCAGTTGCGTTTGTTCATGGATGGGAAAATGTTTCCGTGAACATTTGCGGTTGGTTTTCGACTCTATTTTGTGCATTCCTGAAAGGCAGATGGATAAAACACACTACAAGGAATTGCTGATCACTCTTTTACTTCAAAATGTTGAACTCATGCTAAATATTATGCGACAAAAGACACTAGGATCTGCAATGCTGTGCGAGTACTTCGTCAAGAATGGAGCAGTTAACATTATCTATATTGATTATGCCTGTAAACTAGCAACCCCCGTGTACAGAATGTGAGAATATATTACAATCATTATCACTCACTAAATAGAATCTGGTTAACATGCAATAAAATCCGCTAGGGTTCGAGGGGAGATCAGTTCTTCACTTTGAAAAGCGAATAATGTGTGCTGACACCTACGGATGATGAAACAAAATAGGTGACATTGGAATAAACCATAATTCTGAAAAGGCAGCCTAAATTTAGAGCGATGATAATGATTACCTGAGCATAATTCCTTAGTTAAATGCTGATGGCTGATGCCACTGCTGAAAACGAAATGTATGAAATTAGTAGAAACATGACCTTAGTTTAGCTCATAAATGTACAGTCAACCATATCAACAAGAAATGAACATCGTAATAGAACTTTCAATTTTTCACAGGCCTGGTCAATTGCGTATAACATTTAGGAACCGACTTTTCTACCGAAATAATTATTTAAGTTGCTATCCTACGGATATATTTTTGAAGGCGTGTTAGAGGGCAGGTAATGTAAGCAACCTAGTCTAAACACACTGAAAGGGTATTCATCTAAAACAGATAAAGGAAGCCTTACATATCACAATGAAGATACAGTTCCTATTTATTTACTACCCCCATCAGTCTCCACATCTAGTTGGCTGTAGTGTACAAAGTTGTAGAAGCTCCGCAGGCACTGTGAGCGTTGTTTTGCGCATAAAGCTTATTTCACCGCTTAACATTGTTCGTTTGAGTAATTTAATACTTTTGAATGACCGTAATTCCTTTTTTCGAAGCTTTGTATCTCTGCATGATACTTCTGACCGTGATAGGAATACACATCAAATGAAGCATCGTCAATGAAATAGCTGGTGGAGTAATTGCTGCATACCAAGGCGTTGTCCTGAAATCAATGGCATGTTTCAAATTTCGCCGATACAATTAATAAAAGATCTGTCATTAAGGGTAAAGAGGTATTTAAAGGATCCTCAAATCCACTGCTATCCTATTTTTTGGGACACCAACAATTACGATACGGAAAACTTTTTGCATATAGTATAAATTTCCAAACAGTTTTGTACATTTTACGATTAAAGTGCAAAAGTGATTATCATGTTTTCTTAATTAATTTATTCCTTCATAGCAGTATAATATCCACAGTTGCCTTTTTGGTTATTCTTTGTAATAGCTTGTGTAAGTGAATAATTGTAAACATACTTATTCCTCGTATTTGTTATTTATCATATTGATGACCCTTATGAATTGGCGGCCCTCTTGTACAAAAACTTGGGATATGTTATCATTATTTCAAAAACCAAGTGCACCTTAACAGTATAAAAACACCACCGATACTCTTACTGACTGTGGAGGACTGGATCATGGGACATGTCGTGAGGAGAGAAAAGACAGGCATTAGTTGAGATGACATGGCGACTTCGGAATGTGTGAACTTTGCACGTGATTTAAACCTTTTGTCACATGCACTCGAAGATTTACTGGTGAAGACCAACAAGGGTTAAGAGGCAACCAAGACAGAATTTCAACTTAATCTAGAGGAGACAGAGGTAATGAAGATACCCAGTCGAAAATGACAGGCATCAATTACCATCAGGAATATTTACCTCAGGTAGGTCTCGTGCCTCACTTTCTTGTGCGGTGTTGTTCCAACCAATGGCTGTGGCACGTGCGAGAATTTCAGGACGGGATAAAAAGCCAAGACATGTCATCATCACTCCGAAATTAGCGTGTAGACCGTTAGTGCTCAACACAGTGGACAAATCAAAACATTCAAGTCTCCGCTTTCACATCTTTCACAGACTTTTCCTGGGTTTCTCCAGGAAGCCTAACAAGCTGTGAAGATTGGATAACAGGCAGAAAGGATAGGCGACAGAGACATAAGGCAGAGCTCTGAACCAGCCAACGAACTCCTAGCCAAAAAATATTCAGATGGGAAAGGAGATGGAGTAGATATACATCGAAATGATGATGAATACGACACGGAAGCTTATCAGAAGGCACTGTGATGATAGGCTGTGATACTTCCTATGTAAGTAAGCATCTTAGCAATAGGAGTTCATAAATATCCAAACCAAATACATGTAACTTTTACTGGTTATGTTGAGTTGTTATACAGCAAGTTGGGCTGATTGATACAGTTATATGATTTTCACAAATCGATGTGTGAAAGTGAGAGACAACATGGCGAATTTGTTGAATTACAGGAAAAATGGGTGAATTTATGCCTCACTGTTTCGTGCACCCCAATATTCACAATATGAATTCCACATATTCTTAGAAATATCGCGTGGAATATATAATTATGTCAGTCATTATTACTTTTAAAACCTTGGCCTCTTATCAACGATGTCTGTAAACTGGCGACCCTCATGTATAAAATCTGAGAATATATTATTTTCTGTTTTCGTCGTCATACACGTCTTCAATGTTTAATACTGGTAGACCTAGGCAGGCGGGTAATATCGTGTGTTTATAAACAACTCAAGCTCGTTTCAAAATATAACTTTTAGCCAGATATTACTAGATGGGGATACAATCATGCAAATTTGGCCCTCAGAATTTCCAGTGGCCTCCCTTGATGAGTCAGCACTGGAGTTTTCTTCAAATAACCAACAGCTCCATTTGGGTCGGCGATTCGGTGAGAAGCCGTTGAGATCATCTTTAAAAAATTTCACTAACCCAACAACTTCCTCTTTCTGAAAATTAACAGTGGTCTCGCGTCCAGGAGTAACTACAGTTAGGACAGACAACCAGACTGGAAACCTTCGGTCTTATGAATAATGATATTCATATAGTGACAGTGATTAAAATAAGCAGGTTTCTGAAACAACTACAAATAAACGGTAGAGCACTGTGACGTAACCGTTTAATTTGGATCATGCTGTGGTGAATGTGAGAGAACACAGGCAAATATAATGATAAGCTAAAGACTTCTTGCGATTTTCGTTGGCCGATCCATGAATATCCAGTACCAAGCAAAGTTGAATATAAATAGACGCTTGTGAATGTTTATACGGATGACAACAGCTTGAAAGCTCTGCTAATATCATGACGTGGGAGGGGGGAGCTGTTTTCATCGGCTTGTGAGGATGACATCACGACTACGTTGTACGCATATATTATCTTTCAGCTTCAAATGCAATTATTTGGCATGAATCAAAAATCCATAAACAGAATCAGGGCAGGAATTGGGCCGTCTTTGATCCGCGCTTTTGAGAGACAAAGTGTGCTTGTATGACTAGGGATCAAGGATGAACCCCCGAACTGAAAACAATGTGCAGAACAGGTTAAGTGACCAACCAGTCACCTTCGGCTTAACCAGTTGATTTTAACAATGCAGGTCAGTATTCTATGTTGAATGATAATAAACCTGTAGATTGTCATTTCAGTGAAGTATTTCCTACTACAATGCAAATATTTGGGTGTTATTGGCATTCGGATTCGTACACCACTGTATCGTAGATTGGCGCAGTATTACTACTGAGGATTAACCTTAATGTGTATATCTATAACTGAATTGCCTAGGTTGAAGTTAGCTGAGATATTTAAATTTATGTCCACTGTGCGATAGTAAATCTTGAGTGTGCCACATTCAAAAAGAGTTGGGCGCGTGCTTCGTATAACCTGCCCAACTGTTTGCATTTATGGCGGACACAGCAGTTGAACCAGTTCCTAATCAGCTACCACCATCTGTATTACTAGCTGATGTCTCAGCTCTTAGCAAATATGTGCACAAAACAGTTTGCACTCTTCTGGAAGAAACCAGTGATGGCTCAGTAGTCCTAGAGGCAACTTTAAGCGATCCAAATAACCAAGAATCATTAAAGAAGTTCATATCTGATGTTCAGGTCCACTCCATTGTAGTCCAGAAACTCTCCACAAAAGGTATCCAATCAGTTCCTAAGATTTATTATTTTCAGACGACGACGATGAGTCAACGGACTGTTGTGTTTCTTACTCGATTCTTCTTGAAGTTAAGTATACAAACCCAAAAATCCAAAGGTAGTAGCTATTTCTTAAAATTATTGCCAGTATTGTGTTTATCAAACGTGGGGCCGTGGTCGAGGCTGACAAGAGCTTCAGTTCTCAGTTGAGATTCCTGAATTTTACGGATGGTTCTCCATATGAAACTTTACACTCAACTATTAGTAATGCTATAAGTCCATTTTATAAATCCTACATCCGCGAGTCCGGAAGAGCTGACAGGTAAATGATTTAAGTCTAACACAATGTTTTAGGGATGGTGATAAAATGGCACCAAGTGTAGAGAAGACAATGACAGAATTAGAAATGGGTCTTTTACACCTCCAGCAAAATATTGATATACCAGAGATCACTTTGTCAGTTCATCCTCTTGTTGCACAGGTGATAAAAGAGCGTGCCCAGGAAGGAAAGAGAGCTAAAACATCGGACTTTGAGGACAAGTTAGAGGATGCACAATTTCTGAATGCTCTTCAGTCTGGTGTCAACAGATGGATTAAGGAAATTCAAAAGGTTTTAGTAATTTTTTAATAATCATTGAAATTATGAAGGTTACAAAACTGGATCGTGATCCATCGTCTGGCACTGCTTTGCAAGAGGTTACTTTCTGGCTTAATTTAGAACGCAGCTTGTTTCGTATACAAGAGAAACGAGAGTCTCTAGAAGTTACACTTACGTTGGACATTTTGAAACATGCTAAACGATTTCATGCTCTAGTTAGCTTTGATACTGACACAGGTAATTATTCACTAATGTAACTAAATTCCGTTCAGGTTTACAAAGAGCTTTGGCGACTGTTAACGATTATAATCCACTTATGAAGGATTTTCCACTCAATGATCTCCTGTCAGCCACTGAACTTGATAAAATTCGCATGGCCATTCAAACGATTTTTACTCATTTGCGAAAAATCCGTAATACAAAATATCCCTTACAAAGAGCTTTGCGCTTGATCGAAGCTATTTCAAGAGACCTTACCTCACAGTTATTGAAAGTAAGTCACTTAATATCATTGCTCGGAAGTGCTTTTGTCATTTGTTGATGTATATATGTGTTAACATATAATTCCTAAGTAAGTGTTGGGTCAGTTTGAGAATGTTTTATGTTCTCACATAGTTTTCATAGCTATAATATACGGGTATTTTTGTTGATAGGTGGTGTAGTCATATCTCGTGTTTGGAGGTTCCTACATATTTAAGGTATATTTAAGTATTTTTGCTTAGCTTATTCAGTTAACCTTATGTATTTTACGATTACGGAGCTCTAGATTAAAAACTCAAGAATCATGAGAAGAAGAGAATCAGAACAGGTTGTTAGCAGTCACGTATACCCATGTGGTTGATTACGCAATATTTACTCTTCAACAACTAACCCCCCACTCAGAGGTGGTTGTTAGTTTGAAAAAGTTAGCAGTGTAAACTGAGACATCCTGTACTCATGCATACTTCGCTTCCTCACGAAGCATGGGGTGTAAGTTTCACTTAGTTGTTGACTTTCGAAATATATTTTATGTCTTCCTTATATTTTGGAAATCATTGGAGTTTATTAGGTAGTAGAACTTATCAGTCGTCAAACTTTCAATTATGTACTTCCTGAAAGTTTTGTAATCTATGGCGTTTTTGCATTTGTTTAGATTCTTATTCTAAAAATATTACTTTCATTACATTTAGGTTTTGGGGACACGAAAGCTTATGCACATGCCGTATGAAGAGTTTGAAAGAGTAATGGCTGCGTGTTTTGAAGTATTCTCTTCATGGGATGATGAGTATGATCGATTGCAAAGCTTGATGAGAGAAATCATTAAAAAGAAACGTGATGAACAGTTGCGAATGATATGGCGGAGTAATCCAGCTCATCGTCGGTTACAATTACGTCTTGATCAAATGAGAAAGTTAGTGATAGTGTTATTTCTTTGTAAAAGACTCAAATTTTGTTCTTAGATTTTGTAAAATAATCAAAACTTATAAAGCTTTTGACAGTGATTTAGGTACTTGATTTTTGACCAACAGATGAAGATTGATGTACACTGGTCGGCCCGTCCGACCAGTTTTCTGTGCGTCGGTGGCACAGTGGTTAGGACTCTCGCCGACCATGCACATGGTCCGGGGTCCGGGTCCCCTGCCGACGCACACCTGATATCTATGATCGGCCTGCAAGATTTGAGCTACCGATATCGCATGCTGAAAATTCCATACTTGTACCAAAAATGCAGTGTGGAATCAAGCTGTAGTAAAAAAATCGTAGTGCATCAGCTGATGTTTCCGATTTGTTTGCCACTGTAATTTTTGGTTATAGAATCAAGCTGAAACCCCTTGAGTAACCTATAGGAAGATTGTAATCCCCATATGAAGAAAAAGTACAGGTTATAAAACTTTGCTTTAACTTAGTGTATACCTTTTTAAGTAAAAGTGTCATACTACTTTTTATGGCTAACAAACTTGCTTTTTTGTATACAATCAAAGGTTCCGTCACCAACACGAACAGTTGAGACTAGTGATTGTACGTGTGCTACGACCTGCACATAGTGCTCAACCAGATAAGACGAAAGATGCTCCCGGCGAAACAAATAATGGTATGGCTGTGAATGAAGGTGATAACAAGCTCCCTGCCAAAACGACTGGTAAAGAACAACCTCTTCTTGATGCATCAGATGCTAATGCAATAGAAGAAGTTAATCTAGCGTATGAAATCGTAAAAGAAATTGACTGCTTGGATGTTACAAAGGAAGGTACTGATGTCTGGGAGGCGGCAATCAAACGGTAAGTTGTTCATTCGTCTAAGTAGTCAATCAAAAACATCTAGATTTATGTGATACTGATGTTACTTTTTGTCTTATCTTTAGGTATGATGAGCGCATTGATCGCGTAGAAACTCGAATAGCTGGACGCCTTCGTGATTTACTGGGAACAGCAAAGAGTGCAAACGAAATGTTCCGATATTTTTCACGTTTCAATGCTTTGTTTGTGCGACCACACATAAGGGGTGCCATACGAGAGTATCAAACACAACTTATTCAACGAGTTAAAGACGATATAGAAGCTTTGCATGCAAAATTTAGAACACAATACACATCTAGTAAAGCTTATCAAATGACAAAAGTGCATGATCTGCCCCCAGTTGCTGGCTCCATTATTTGGGCTCGTCAAATTGAGCAACAACTCAATGCTTATTTGAGACGAGTTGAAGATGTTTTAGGTATGTCCCACATTATTTTGTAGGTGCTAAACTTGTTACTTATAGTCTCTAACATTTAAACTTGTAGTAATGACTGATTTGTTTCAATGTCCGTAATTATTGGGTTTCTTTTTAGGTAAAGGATGGGAACATCATCGTGAAGGACAGCTTCTGAAGGCCGATGGAGATAGTTTTAAGGCAAAACTGAATACCAGTGAACTCTTTGAAGATTGGTCACGAAAAGCACAACAGAAACAAGTTTCAGTGTCTGGTCGTATTTTTAACGTTGAACCTATTCGAACCAAGATTGCTACAAAAGAAGGTGAAACACAAACAATAACTGTTCTAAAGTTGAAAGTTAACTTTCAGCTAGAAGTTATAACTCTGGCGAAAGAAGTTAGTACCATGGATTGAGTATTTTTGTCATTACTTCTATTATTATTATTACTATTATTTTAGACAAACACTTTGTTAAGTGGTGGTTATAATTTACACATTTATTTATTTAGCTTATGCACCTTGGTGCGTAATTTTTAGTCTTTCGTTTCAATGAGTTCACATTCAATGCAACTGAAATACACAGCACAGATTTGTGCATAATACACTGTCTAATTTATGAAGACCTATGGTATGGAGTTGCTTAGACAGAAGTAGGTTGGCTCAGGCAAAAATTCATGACTTGTCACTATATTGTCGGGTCCTTAAGCTTATGAGCTTCGCTTCCCCACTATTAATCAAGATTGCGCAATTGATATAAACCGATGAATACAAAAAAGATAGCGGTTTTCTTTAATTTCCAGATTGTTATTTGTAATGAGATCGTGAATGATGCTTAGTGAACTATCTCCATGATACGATTTAGTTTTTAAAATTCCTAATACAAACTCACTAAGTACATGTTACAAACGTGCTTCGATACTCAAAGGCGATGAATTGTAAGAAAGCCACCACATAGATGTTTATATAACTAACACTGTACCACGGTTATTGTGAAGACTAATGATACCACTTTTTTTAAAGTCAATTCTCGGTATCTGAAGTGAACCTGATAATCTGTCACTCACTAGTTAGAATTAGCATCCTACCATGGAAATGGATAGTAGATGTCATTTCCTATTTTCTCGAAATATGCCATCACATCCCAATATTTGTTTGTCATGTTGCCCCTTCTACAGTCGTATTATTTTGTCTTGTTTTTATGCATCAAACATTACTTTGGAAGAGTAGATTATTACATATATACTAAAGTGCCTACGTACGAAGATAATGCATACGACCATTTATACTGAGCTTCGCAGCAATAGTTTTATAGGTAGTTTGACTAAATTGTATATCATCAATGTTCTCCGAGTTTGAGTACAACAGTTCTAGTTTATGTTGTATAATTTAACTTCAACAAAATCAAGTAATCATTTGAAATGTAGTCAGAAGTCAGCGAACATCTCAGCAAGTAGGCTAGCTGTCTTAGAAACCAGTCACTGAGCTCGAGATTTGAGTTTGAATTACAGTCAGAAGTGAAACCTAGGCATGATCTTTACAGAGTGGATTTTGAAGCTAATATTATGATTGATCATTTTTCAAGCAAACATATTGGTTGTTCAAGTTTGTTGTCGTCTGTATTATTCCTATAAATTTTTACTGTTTGAACATTGCTACAATTACTGAATTTACCGTTGAATTGTTTTCATGTAGGTCCGAAATATGAAATGGCTTGGCTTTCGTGTGCCCCTTGGAATAGTCAATAGAGCTCATCAAACTAATCAACTTTATCCTTATGCAATATCTCTGATCGAAAGTGTACGGACTTATGAAAGTACTTGTTGTAAAATAGATGAACATCAGCGACAACATATCGGTCTTTTATGCGCTGGAATGCGCCGTGAAGTTCAAGTTTTGATATCTGAGGGTATATCATTAGTTTGGGAATCCTACCGCTTGGGTTTATTTGTACAACGTCTTGCAGAAACAGTTATGCAGTTTCAGGAAAAGGTTGATGATCTTTTAGCTACTACTCAAGAAATTCATACAGAAGTCAAAGCACTCGAAACCTGTGTCTATTCTAGATCGGTTTTCGAAGAGATTTTAGGTAATTTTGCCGTCCAGTTGTTTGTTGTTTTTGTAGCGTAATTATCATGTAGTAGTTTCTGCGGAGATTATGGAAATTCTCTTGAGGTATTCCGTTTAAACAGAGAATGGCTTGGAGAAACTTTTACGTTTGATAGTTCATTTATATTCTATAATCGGAATATCATTTATTTGTAGATCATTCTTTTAGTTTGCTGATAATAATGTTTACTTCTCGACTAGAATAGTGGGAATTATGTGTGGTCACTTAAAGTGTCTGTTCGTGTTGTGAAATCATATAAGTGTAAGACAGTGAATGTAAAAGCTTATGAGGTAATTCAACAATGATTCGTTTATGCGGACATGAGTCGTAGTCCATACGTCTACATACTTTTTTCCAAACTACTGGAGTTGTCGTAAATCCCTAAAATTAGGTACTAATATCTTTCAATTTCAGATGACGTAGACTTTTTCATTATTTTCACTTAAATAAGTACACTTCTGTTGTGACGAAGTGAGTATCACTTGCTAAAAACATGCATAAACTTTAAGGTTATACGAAGCAAAATCAGTGAAATTCTTTCTACATTAGCACAAATTAGGGCTTAGAGAAACTTCAACTTCAAAGAATATCCAAGTGTTCACATGATTTTCAAAATAAACTGGAATAATTCACTTGCAGTAAACCTTATCAGCGTTTATGTGAATTTTCTGCTCTTTTTCTGCTTAGATAAGGCCTGTCTTTCAAAGGACCTGTGATCAAGATGTAGATTCCAAATAAGTACGAACTCAGTCACCTGAAAACGTTTTTTTATATATCTCAGCTTATGAGCCACACTTTTGTGGGGGCTGAAGTAAGTGGGGTGAGATCCGAACCTGGGACCCATTGACCAAAAGTGGAGTGCTTAGGTCAGTAAGCCAAGTCTCCGCCTTTCTTTGAAAAAAACAACTCCAGATAGTACTTGGCTTTTCAGCAGCGCACATCGACTGGGTGGCGGACCAAGGATCTTCTGGTTACCAAGGTAAACTCTTAAATCATTCGGCTACTTGGGACTAAGGCAGTTCACCTGTAACTAGTAATCAAACAGTTTATTGAAAATCTGTTAATTTAAGAGTTTCATATGAGTTCATTTATAAAACGATGTTATATTTTGAACCATTTTAATGCAGAGTTGATTTAATTTTCTGAATAGGTAAAATACAAAAGTGTGTTGATGAATTGAATCTCCATCAATATTCAAACTTAGCTCAATGGGTTGCTCATTTAGACGAAGAGGTTGAACATCGTTTAGTTGTACGTCTCAAGGCTGGCATTAATGAATGGACACGTGTCCTATTGGGTCAGAAAGATAAGTGCACTGTAAGTTTATCTGATTTTGTAGTCAACGCAAGGTATGCTTTGGAAATTATGAAGTTTTATGAATTAGGTTTAGGTATCCGATATATAGGTCATTTAACTAGTGGAATCTGATCTACTTTATCATGAGGTTTATGCAGTAGTGGCCTGGAGACACCAGTTTAAACTTGATTTCTATTAGCTTTTTGTAGGTAGTTCGTCATGATCCGGTGGACTTTTTAATAAATTCATGAATTGCTTTCGAACTTTTAGAATCTGGGATATATATATATATATATATATATATATATATATATATGGTGACATACCGTTCAGCGCCACATGATTTCACAAACACACTTTCCTTTGAGATACACAGTTAATACGCTGACGAAATCTTAGTACGGATACAGAAGGCTTGTTTGGCATATGCCGACTTACGCCGTCTCTGGCGTAGACGTGATATCCGACTGACTGTCGACCGAAGGGCGCGTGTACTGCTTAGCAGCAGTTGGTTCCGTTTTCCTTTATGGCTGTGAGCGAGACATATTCATTTGAAGTGGAAGATATCACAAGGTTAGCTGTCTTTGATCACAGGTGTCTGCGTTCTATCGTCGGTGTTATATTGGTATAACACAGTGGGCAGTATTGAGTTGAGGCATCGGTCGAGTGGTAGGTAAGGAGGGGAAATCAATCGACTAGGTTGTGAAGCAGCTGCATCGATTGAGATGGTTATGAAATGTGTTACGTATGCCTAGCCATCGATTTCCTCGACCGGTGATGTTAGCTGACATAGGATTGATCAGGCTGGAGATGAGTTAGTGGTGGTCAAACGGAAACGTGGCTTCATCAGTGAATGGTATCCACAACAGTGAGTTTAAGCCAGCCAGCCACTTAAGGAGTTGTAGATGTCCTTACTGATTGGGGTCTCAGGATGTTAAGAATCGATGTCGACTGGAGACAATTTGTGATATGGCTGAAAATCGTTGTCAATGTCTGTCGCAGATGCATTCATTCTTTGTGATTTCTAATATCCGATTAAGTTCTGTTGTTCTTGCATACAACTATTCTTTTTGCTTCGTATTTCTGTTTATTATCTCTCTTTCTTCTCAACCTACCTTTAATCTCCTCTTTGGCTATGTGGGGTAAATAGAGGGAGTGTGTCAACTCCAACTGCTTCACATCTGCTTAAAGTTTTACGTTGAAACGTCAGTCAGTCAGTAATGTGATTAAAATGGTATAGCTTTTGTGTATACTTGTTGACACTTTAGAAGATGTCTAACACCTTTTTCCTTTTCATTTTCAGAATAATGACTTAGAGGATACGCATGCAATCCCTAAGTCGAAAAATCGTTTAGGCGGTGAACCACAAATAAAACCTCTGGTCCATGAACTTCGGATAACTAATCAACAGATTCATTTGCATCCGAGTATTGAACTAGCTCGTCATGAATTAATAGTTAATCTTAGTGGTTGGGAAAGTGTTGTTCTCACTTTACCTCGTATTCAACATTCACGTTACCAGGTGAGATAAATACTTCATTAATCATATTAAAATTCCTCTTTATTATACTGAAGTGCCAATTTAGAATTTTAATTATTTAAATTAATTAACACCCGAAAGCGGAAGTCATGCAAATGCTTAGCAAGTCTAGTATAGTTTATCACCTAAGTGAGCAAGGATGTAGCTGCGTCGGTGGCACAGTGGTTAGGACTCTCACCGACCATGCACATCTTCCGGGTTTCGATCCCCTGCCGACGCACACCAGATATCAATGGTCGGCCTGCGAAATTTGGGCTACCGATATCACATGATGAGAATTTCATACTTGTACCGAAAATACTATGTGGCATCAAGCTGTAATCAAAATAAAATAAAAATGAAAATGTTCACAAGTTTGTATTTGTGTTTTTTATGAATAATCTGTAGACAAGATTCACTCAACGTGTATAAGATTCATCATTTGAACTTTGCTAGACAGTCATCAACGATGATCAAAGTTACGAAGCTTTCACTCATGTTTTTTTTCCATCCCTTTGCGCTTTGAGTGGAACATAAGGTTTCAAGGTTGAGCTTTGAATTTACGGTAACAGTGGTTTCCTCTTTACGGGGTGGGATTGCTAGCCTCACGCCCATCCTCTTCCCTCTTTCTTGATTTACTAACCAGCTAAGCCCCCTAGGAGTGCGCCAGTTCGGGATCGTACCCTAGATTAAACATGATTGGTGAGCATTCTACTGCTGCACCACCGGTGCCATTTATGCTTTACGACATCAAGTTCATAGAATCCTTTGTACACTATAATCGAATTCTAAAGTATGATACGCTGATATAAAAGTCATAATTCCATACAACTAATCCGAAGCAGGTTATGAGGCTAGTGATTGGAGTAACATTGGAGTTAATCATAAGAGTCTTCACTGTGAGTGATTATGATTTTCAGTTTTAGAGATCGTATAAAAGTAAATACATTGTGCGTCGGTGGCACTGTGGTTAAGACTCTCGCCGACCATGCACGTGGTCGGAGGTTCGATCCCCGGCCGACGCACACCTGGTATTAATGGTCGGCCTGCAAAATTTGGGATACCGATATCGCATGCTGAAAATTCCATACTTGTACCAAAAATACAGTATGGAATTAAGCTGTAATCAAAAATTAAAAAAATTTATATCTAGGTGAAATAACTTCCTTCTAACTGTTCAATGTGTTTTTAACTATTCTTCAAATAAGTTTGTAACTTCCCTGTTTCATTTGCTCACCATAGGTTGGTATTGAATCAGAGAATGATACACAAAAGAATTATAAAAAGTTGATGTATAAACTAGAAAATTCTGGTGATGTTTTGGCCAAAGCTTATGAGGCAATCGTCCAAGTAGCCGGTGAGGCGAAAGAATATGTTAAAACATGGACAAGTTATCAAGCACTTTGGGATCTTCAAAGTGATCAGGTGTATGGTCGCCTTGGTTCTGATACTCAGGTAGGTTATTTATTTTTTAAAAATAATATCAGACGCTTAGATCAGTGAGTTTTCGTGTGATGTGATAGTTTTAGTATTTTGGTAGGGTTGTCGGAATTCTAAGCACCAATATATTAGGAGATAATTGGTGAGAAATGATTCAAAATCGTTTTCAGTGATGGTGTAGATGCATCCACTCTTTGTTATCTGTCATATTCAGTAGAACTGTTGTTCTTCCATATTACTATTCTTTTTCCGTCACTCACACTCCTGTTTATTATCTCTCTTTTGAACCTCTTTACTCTTCTCTTGCTTTGTGTGCTACATGAAGGGAGTGTAACAACTCGATCTGGTGCACATCTTTGCGGTTCTATGTTGGAATCAGTCAGTCAGTATTTTGGTCACTTAAATGATAACCCTCTGTCGTGAAGAGATCATGTGTATATATGATGAACAGAATTGTGAATGTGAATTCATATTCTGTTTTTATTGTCAACTAATATCCAGAAAGACGACGAATGCTCCGCAACTAAACCAACCAGCTCAGAGAACACTATTAATTGCAAATAATATCATTTACTGTAAGACATTGGAAATTGTGACGTTTCCCTCACTTAAGTATCTTATTTATTCTATAACCTCTCAACAATGCACTTTGTTTGATAGTCGGTCAACGCATAAACTCTCTTTGAACTCTATAGTCGTTAGCTATCGGTTGCAGTTACGGTAGCTGCTATTAAACTGATTTTAGACTAGAACTGAAGGTTATATAATCCACTGCACTAGTCGAGATCTGAGAAGTGAAGTAATATGGGTCAGTCGCCTATGCAATAGATGTGATTTATTGCCTACAGAAAAAAATTATGTTAGGTTGGGAAGTTGCATACAAATAACTATCTCAGTCGTAGAATATTCATCAGTCCCCGACTGGCTGATTGCTGACGAAATTTCGGTAAGGATGCAAAAGGCTGATGTAGCATTTGTCAGCTTTCACCGTCTCTCGCGTAGACGTGATGTCCGGTTGGCTAACGATCAAAGGATGCGTGTTTTCAACACTTTGCTCCATCCTCCTCTGTGGTGGTTGTGAGGCATGACCATTAAAAGTGGAAAGTGTAAAAAGGCTAACTGTCTTTTACGACAGGTGTTTGTGTTCTGTCTGCTGTGTTAAGTGGTATAATAGGACGATTAATATAGAAGCTAGGTATAGTGTTAGATAACGTTTGTGAAGCTACATGAATTGAGATAGCCAGGACATGTGCTGCCTATCCCTAGCCATTGTCTTCGATAGGCAGTGACATCTGATATAGAATCAGGATGGAAAAGAGTTAGAGGAATCAGTCCATAGAAACCTGGACAGTTAGTTTGAGCCAGCAACTTAAGGAGGTGTACACTACCTGGTTGGAATCCTCAGGATCCAAACAACCCCAATAGTTGGAGACAGTTGGCGAGAAATGGTTCAAAATCGTTCTCAATGGTTCAGATGTATTATCCCATATCCAATAAAACCCTGTTATTTCTACATGTTAGTATTCTTTCTCCCACATATTTCAGCTAATTACCGTTCTTTCGAATCTCTTCTTTTCACTCTCGTGTACCTTCATGTACTATGCATAGAGTGTGGCAACTCGAACTGCTGAGCTTTTGGGCACAGTTGTATTTTGAAATCAGTCGGTTAAAATTTCACTAGTGTTGTATGCGCTGCAACCAAGTAGGAGGTTTGGTGATTGATGATTTCTTTTACTGTATAATTTTTAAAAATCTAGATAGGTATTAGAATCTCCTCCTCCTGCTTCCTAAATGAAACATAATAAATGTTTTTTTTTAAAATTTTTTAAAATTTACCAACTACATAGGTTTGGATGAATCTTTTAGACGAAATTAAAAGTATGCGTCAACACTTTGATGTGGCAGAATCTCAGAAAGAATTTGGTCCTATCATTATTATGTTTGGAAAAGTTCAGTCTAAAGTTTCACTGAAATACGACAATTGGCATAAGGATATTCTGAGCAAGTTTGGAAGTCATTTAGGCTCAGAAATGCAAGATTTATTCTCACAAGTATCAAAGGTTAGTAGGTTTTGTTTGTTTTTTTGATATCAAACGAATATGCAAAAGTCCCTGTTTTTTATTGAAAGGGAGAGGACAATTTTTTTAAAATCATATATAAGTAGGGTTTTATTTCGCCCTATAAAAACATACGTCTTCTTTTTTTTGTAGGCTCGTTCGGATTTAGAACAACAAGCAATAGATGCTGCTAGAACAGGTGAAGCTGTCAACGCAATAACTTACACACAAGCAGTGAAAAGAAAAATGAAAGCATGGGAGAAACAAGTGGAACTTTATCGTTCCGGTCAAAATATTCTCTATCGTGATCGTTTCCAATTCCGTCCAATTGGTTAGATTCAGAAAATCTTTTAGGCGAATGGAGTGCATTCCAAGAAATTCTCCGACGAAAAGAAACAAGTATTGGGTCTCAGGTGAGTCAGTCAGTCAATCATTTTCATCAACGAATGCGTACTTATCGATTGACACTATATCCATCACAGTATTGCTTATTCGACAAATCTTTCCCTTTGCATTTTAGGTGGCCAGCCTTCAAATGAAAGTTGTTGCTGAAGATAAGATTGTTGAAGGTAAAACTAGTGAACTGTTGTCGTCTTGGGACAAAGAAAAACCTATTGCTGGTAATCTAAAACCTGAAGAAGCTGTCAGTCAACTCACTATACTGGAGGGTAAATTCAATCGTCTACGCGAAGAACGCGATAACATTCAGCGTGCTAAAGAAGCCTTAGAGTTGACTGAATCAGGAGTTTTGTCGCCTACAGAACAACGTGTACAAGTGGCCTTTGAAGAACTTCAGGTTAGATTTAGAATGTATTGTATATGTATATTTTTTTCTGAGTGTAAACAATGCATTGATGCTTATCAGCACTGACCTAATATTTAAGGAAACGACTTCATTTTCAAGTTTTACAGTCGTATTTATTTTACACAAAAATGCATTAATTTGCACTAGAAATTGCTCAGTCAAGGTACGTATGATAAGAATAAGAATAATTAAAATGATGTTTTTCAACTGGGTAGAGTTGAAGTGGATGAATTACAAAACTTTTAAAGATTATTAAATAATTGAATTGATGTTAAGATTTTAAAATTGTAGGTCAAGTGTTGTCTGAGAAATTAAGAGTACAATGATGATAACAATAAAGACGGTGAAAGTGAAATAGAATGAATTCGAGCGGTGGCACAGCGGGGTTAGGACGCCCGCCAACCACGCACATGCTCTGGAGTTCGATCCCCTGCCGATGCACTTCCTTTGTGTGTCGGTGGCACAGTGGTTAGGACTCTAGCCAACCATGCACATGGTCCGGGTTTCGATCCCCTGCCGACGCACACCAGATATCAATGGTCGGCCTGCAAAATTTGGGCTACCGATATCACATGATGAAAATTCCATACTTGTACCGAAAATACTGTGTGGAATAAAGCTGTAATCAAAAGAAAAAAAAACAAGAACATTACTATGACCCCAAGTTAAAGAAGGGGGTTCATAAAAACGTTTTCTGTTCATGATAGCTAGAGCTTTGTTGATGAAAAAAAGTAATCTTTTGGAGTGGTTGGATTTGGTCCCGTAAATAACTTTACCGGATAAACGACGACGGGCTGCATGACCTGACTCTAGAATGTGTTCACAAATTGAAAACCTCGTCTTCCTAGTTTACTTTTCACTAATCAACCCGGGTAGTGTTCAGTTAGGCGTTTACGGAGAACACGCTTGCAAAGTCCAATGTAATCAGTTTCCCACGAGCATTTGAATGAATTTGTGCACATGTTGGTGAAGTCTGTAATATGATTTTACAATCAGCATTTTTATCTAATCAAACATATATAATCATGTAGGCACATAGATGTTTTTGATCGAACATAAATATTTACACATAACAGTGTGGGTAAAATAATATTCAATTTGAAAATGGCGCTCAATTCTGTGCTGTTGATGAACACAATGTTTAGTTAAAAAGAAAGTTTAAAGTATCATATTGCATAACAACACCGTTGCCGATATTGACAACTGTCTCATTTTAATATGGACTATTTTCTTTTCCACTTACATCACACTGTCAGAGTTTGTTTTGTTTATTCTTTTTAGGATCTCAAAAATGTTTGGCTTGAATTATCTCGTGTATGGGAACAAATTGAGTCAATGAAAGAGATGCCTTGGCAGACTGTACAACCACGAAAACTTAGACAACAATTGGACGAACTAGCAGGACAACTGAAAGAACTTCCAGCCAAACTTAGACAATATTCATCCTATGAACACGTGAAACGCACTCTTCAGAATTATGCCAAGTCTAATGTTATGATTGTTGAATTGAAGTCAGAAGCACTGAAAGATCGTCATTGGAAATCTTTGATGAAAAAGTTGAACGTCAATTGGACTATGTCAGAATTAACACTTGGTCATATGTGGGAATTGGATCTTCAGAAGAATGAGGCGGTCATTCGAGATGTCTTACTTGTTGCACAAGGCGAGAAAGCTTTAGAAGAATTCTTGAAACAAGTAATTGCGTTTTTCTGAGTTTTAATAACATTTCTTTTTTTATTATTAGGTAACTGAAGTATGGAAAAACTATAATCTAGAATTGATACCTTATCAAAACAAATGTCGACTAATTCGAGGCTGGGATGATTTGTTTAATCGTGTGAAGGAACATATAAACAGTCTAACTGCCATGAAGTTATCACCTTACTTTAAGGTAAGTTCAGTGTATTTGATACTTTTTATTTAACCGTCTCTTTTACAATTTCTACGGTTCATAAAATAATAGAAATCATATCAGCTTTGAAGAAAAATAATAGTTTATGATACTTAGCTTAAGAAAGAGAATTAGTGTTGCTTGACCTCGAAACCCAGGAGAAAACTGCTTGTGACTGGTCACGCACGGAATATTTGAATTGGTTTTTAGAGTAGTTTCCGTACAAGGAGCTGCGCGCAAGTCGGGATGTAAAATTTTCCGACTTTTTGTAGTCCCTCTTCTCTAGTGCTCAGAGACAGGTCACCTAAAGGAAATTCCTTCCTGCTGTCGTATCCTTATTCGCCAGCAGTGCGACTCCGCCCACAGACCTCCAACATAATGTCGACGACTTACGCTACTATGTTAATTGTTTTTAGTCTGACCGCTATCTAAAAGACCTTTCTAGTATAGGTGGGCCTACAGGGACACTAGTTCCAGCCACTGTAGCTTTTTGGGTCACCACAATATGTAAGCCCGACTGTCATGTCAAGGTAACAGCTATCGGTCGGGAGTAATACGTAGCAGGAGTTGTTCTTATTACATACATATGAAAAATGATCAGTGTTATTCCCACAGAAGTAGGGAGATGTAGGCATCATTACATAGTTGGGATATTGCTAAGATTTTTTTTGAAGTTATTTCATTCACTCCCAAAGCCAATTCACCCCCTTCGGCTATCACAATTAAAAACCAACCCTAAGATCATTTCATTACAATAATGTTTGCTTTATGTACATATTTAGCAATTCGAAGAAGAGGCATTGGCATGGGAAGATCGTTTGAACAGGATTAATGCACTGTTCGATGTTTGGATAGATGTACAACGTCGTTGGGTCTATCTGGATGGTATTTTTGCTGGATCTGCTGATATTAAAGTATTATTACCACAAGAATCACAACGATTTCAAAGTGTGAGCACAGAATTCTTAGGTTTAATGAAAAAGGTGTCAAAGTCACCGCTTGTCATGGATGTTTTAAACACATCAAATGTTCAACGGCAGTTGGAACGACTTGCTGACCTACTGTCGAAGATACAACGTTCTCTTGGTGAATATCTGGAACGTCAAAGATCATCATTCCCACGGTATGGTTTATCACTTTTCTAGATGTAACAGTTAGCAGATGTGCTTAGTGATTTTAATTTTTCAACACCTACTATTGCGTGATAGATTCGTTGTACAGTCTTGACTTGATTTTAGGTGGCTATCCTGGCTTCTTTAGATTTTAGGGTTTATGTAACATACTCTCAGACTAAACTGAATTTCGTGTATTTGTTTCCGTCTTGGCCACGTCATGACATGTGGTATAGGTGTATGAGAAAAGAAGAGGCAGCAATACTGTTCAGTTGTCTGTTTGGTCACACACTGCATTCGCATTTCAGATTAGTTGTAAGTAAGTAAGTAGATTGTTGTTATTGTTTAGAGATTGAGTATAAAAGGTTGGAGAAAGCAATGAAATGCAACCACGTAATTGCCATGAAAACACAGAAATGCATTTATGCCGCTAAACCCGATTGTAAATTCATTAAACACAGGTTCCCACTGTCACGTAAACTGTAGTTACGAGATTTAATTTAGTTATTCGTGTTAGGGAAGGTTTTTTTAAAAAAATTTTTCATCAAACTTCACAATTCCATTAAAGTCTTATTCAGCATAATTGCATTTAACTAACTAAAGTTATACATTCTTTTCGAATGCTTACATAAATTATTACTTCACATCATATTAAATAGCTAAACTGAAGAGTTCTGTTACCTATTTTTGGGTGGGCATATTACTCTCCTCATTATCATACTTATATAATTTAAAACATAAACTTGGTAAACTTACGGGTATCAAGAGATGCATCACGGAAAATCTCACAGTTTGTGCTACAGCCGAGATACTGTCAATACGGTCAAGGGACCACAACCGAGCCGTCGATTCGAAGCCAGATACACAAGACACAGTGGGGCGGTGGCAGGAGCTACGTTCTAATATTCTCCGATGACCAAACAGGTTCATATGCCATTCGATGCATTCAGATTCTGGAGGCCATGTACACTATACGTTTGAAATCAGGGTTTTCAAGCTCCCTAACGTGGATATGCACGTTCACTCGTCCGGTTGTGACCGGCAGCCGTTCGCATCTCTGCCTCGTGAAATCAGTGAATAGAGGGCTTACCTGGCAGAGGTTATAGGACGCGTACATACTTCCGTATCATTTTCTCTGTTCATATTATTTTCATATCGAATCTGTTTAGAAAGCCTAATATTTTAGCTTAACGTGATTTCCAAATGTCCATACAAATCTTTGAGGTGCTTCCCTTTGTTCACCTTAGTAGTAGTAGCATACCATGACATCTTCATAATTAACCAAGTTAGGGACTCGTCAGCTGCATATATCTGTAATGCTTTGGTGTATGAAATGATAAGTGCTGGCTTCAAGTCTCAGAGTGTGGAAACACCACTACTCACTGGAGATTGAGATTGTAGGTACGTCCAACTGACGAGTGCCAAATGGTGTTAGTGGGGGATATGGACATCCTTGATTCTACTACCAGTCATCATTCACCAAGTAACATGTAGTATATTTTCCATTATCTCCCACTTAAAGTGAATATACTTGCTGAGATGTTTAAACTTTCCTCCATGCTTCCTGAAAAATGATGCATAGTTATGTGAGATCTTTTCGTTCGGTCTATGCTACATCAGTGATTTCGTGTTTATTTCTTCTAATAAATGCTTATAACCCAGTCAGTTATACCTTATTTATTATCTTTTTCTGCACATTCAGCTTTTACTTTGTGGGTGATGAAGATCTCCTGGAGATTATTGGTAATAGTAAAAATGTGCCACGGTTACAAAAACACTTTAAGAAAATGTTTGCTGGCGTTAACTCTATCTTGTTAAACGAAGACAATACTGAAGTCCTGGGGTTATGTTCCAAGGAGGGTGAAGAAGTAATATTTGTTAAACCAATATCAATAAAAGATAATGCAATTATTAACGAATGGTTATCAATGCTTGAACGTGAAATGCGTTTTTCATTGGCCACATATCTTGGTCATGCTATACAAGAATTACAGGTAAGTGGTTGTTTAAAAAAAAATAAAATTAAATAGAATACATTTATAATATTCAAAGAAGATGCTAAGCAATTTGGTTGAGCAAAAGTTTGTTTAATCCAAACTTTTCCTTGATTTCTACTTTCAGCGTAATATTGAATATCAGTTCTATTAGGTAATTTAATAATTGGCGAGATTTTTGACACATATACTCGTGTATTAATATATATCTACTTTATTTCTCGATGTATTTGCATCGTTGGTTCCGTGATAATATGCTCGCCAGTCACGCATATGGTTTACATTCAACTCCCTACCGATACACTTCTTTGTCTTACCTAGCCTGTAGTAAGTCTGGCGAAGGGGGAAGGTTAGACGTGGAGGCGGGGGGTGGCTAGCAACACACGGCCACTGTCAAACTTCAAAGCTCCACATAGATTACAGTTATGTGTATGGCTGTGAGGTTCATTTGATTCAACTGTTCACTGAATATTGATTTTTTTTTTTGGTTAGCTAACTTTGTAAAGTTGCAACAACTGTAGTTTTACGTCGTACTGAAGCAGCAATTGTTAGTAGCAGTTATCGCTAGTACTTTATACATAGATCTTATGCTTGGAGTCATGAAGTTCAACGGATTTAAAACCCGTCATGCGCCGCTTCAGTCCCAGTGACCTCCTTGCCTTTATTAGTCACTTAACAACTGGACAGAATCCAAGATGTTATTTGACATGCTTTCACTAGTTACAACTGAGGTTTATAAGTATACTAAATATTAGTTCACAGAGTAAAAGAAATTCCAGGTTACGAAATGACTAACCATCCTGCTGTGTATAGCTATCACAATTTTCGAATAGTAATAAAAGAATAATGCGAAGGTCTAGAAAAACTAAACTGAGCAATTGCAGTGCACACGCAATCACACAGAAGAATAGTGGAACAGAGCTACAGTTATGAAAAGTAATTTAATTATGCAGAGATAGAGGTTGTTTACTGAATCCTTGTTTATCGAATCTACACCTAACACGAGCAATAGAAATGATACACTACCAATACCAGATGTATAATAAAGTCAAAGTGTAAGAAAATAAAGATGGAATTATATGAATAAAGTGTGGAAGTTAGTGTTATTGTAGAACCTGGGCACTGTGGTATAATGTAATTCCATATTAGATAAGTCTATTTCAAGTACCACGCAATAATGCAGTATTACCAACTGGATGATGTTTCAGGCTTAAATTATTGCCTCTTACAATCATATCAATTTAGACACACGGTTTGAAAATTTGTCTTATATAAATTTTCCTTTCTCTTCTGTCTTCCCAACTTCCCTTTGTAGTTTGTTGCCATTTCCCATATCTCCGGTGTAGGCGTTGCATCATTCTGATTGCGCGTGTGTGGTGTTAAACTGATAAACAAAAGCTTCAGTGATTAACCTCTCTCTCTCTCTCTCCACCCAACTATATTAGTTTTTAATACTTTCACCCTGTCCCACCCTGTCGTTGTGTGATTACAGGCAAGTGAATACTATGCAATGGTGGAACTTTTTCTCATTACTTGGCGGGGTCAATTATTCTTATGTTCCAACAATCTAATTGACCCCGATCTCCTAGTTTGACCTCACTGACAGTCATTACATGGTATTTGGTAAATTACATTATTTCCCTTAATTCCTATTATCACCGTTCGTAATTCACTGCTTCCTTTTTGTATGCTGAGTCTTCTGATCCTCTCATTGGTGTGAGTAAGGCACAAAAACACTGGAGTAGTGCATAATTTTGTGTGATTGTGCGTTATTTATTGTCTTTGCGTGAGTACCCCCCAGTTATTTTGACTGAACACTGACTAGTGTCTTGTGTCTAGGCCTTTGTCTGCTGTGTTGACTGAATTCTCTTCGTCTATCAAGTTTACAATGTGACCACCACCATGCTAGGTGTAGTGGTACTGCATCACAGTGCACTGTAAATTATTGTTATTAGCTGGTTGGTGGCAATCGCCAAGAAGCCCTAGCCACACCTAAGTTTCGTGCTTGTTGACACTCACCAGTCAGTAAGGCGCATATCTGCAACCTTGAGGGACCTCATATCTCTTCTGAGATTCGAAGCTGTCACTCAGTGAGTGCTACAGTCACAGACGTTACCACTGAGCTATTTGAACTGGCTATTTGAACCTGCTGTGTAAGACTGTATATTAGATGCCCTGATTGGACATTGACTAGCGTCTAGTCCTTTGTCTTACGTATCAGATTAATAATTCAGAAGAAAATATTTAGAGCGAACAATTGTGGTTTCAATAAATGCTTCCTTCTTCAGGCTCTACAATTATAAATCCATTAGTTTAAGCACACAATAGCCAGTTAGTAAAGGCAAATTAGAATCATATCAGAGAGTGTATTGTGGAACAAGTATAAGATAGGATGAAGCAATAGTCAGATAGTTTTTTAACATTTTTTTTCTAAGTCCTCATCATCAGAGGAGGCGACCAAGTCCCCTGTTTGTATATAGAAGTTCTCGAACTGTACATCGGTGTCAATCTGACTAATCTCCGTACGAAAATCGCAAAACTTAGGTCCCAGAGATAATAATGTTTCAAGTTGTAGTTTGTCAAGAGTCATACTAGATTTCCTGCTAATCCAGAAAGGTACGTCCATAACTTTTCTAGCGTGACACCGACGTACAGTTCGAGAACTTCTGCATACAAACAGGGGACTTGGTCGCCTCCTCTGATGAGGACCTAGAAAAAAAAATAATTAAAAAACTCTCTGACTATTGTTTCATCCCATCTTATACTTGTTCCACAATACACTTTCTGATATGATTCTAATTTGCCTTTACTAACTGGCTATTGTATGGCGTAAATTAATGGATTTATAATAATTGTAGAGCCTGAAGCATTTATTGAAACCACAATTGTTCACTCTAAATATTTCGTTCAGATTAAATAATTGTTTGAATTTTATGAATTTAATGATGACAATCACCTCTTGTCTATGCGTTTTGTATGATTTTCGAGCAGTGATGAATGTTTGTATTCAGCATTTTTCTTTTCTTAAATGAGCTAATTACAATTTTATGTGTATGTGTGTGTATATAGGAGTCTGGTTATTTATATGGGCCTAATGATTATGTAAGTTCCATTCTCAACATTTTCAAAGCTCTCTAGATGTGTTGCCAATTGTTGTTATTGTTATTTATATCTAGTTTTCTATCTGTGAAATTCCTTGCGTTGTATCGTTTTGTTGAATGCTCTTTATGGCTGTTATCTTTTTCGCTGTATTACCTTGCGAATCTTTTATTATTATTGTTGCTATTGTTTTTTCTAAAATGAGAAATGCAAATTCTCAGCATTCAATATGTTCTCTCTCTCTGTGTTGTAAAGCATTCTAGCTGTTGTAATACATGTGCATTTTATGCTCCTTATGTATGTATATATATATATATATATATATATGCCTTCCTTTTCATCAGTGTAATTGTCTTCAAATAATTTATGGTGCATTAAAATGTGTTATTGCATTAGTTAATTTTTTTCATGTTCTCATTCTAATTTCACAAATAAAATTTTTTATTTTAGAAGTTAAAATCAGCTCATGATATTGAGAAATCTAGCTTTTTAACCTGGTTAGATAAATACCAAGCACAATTGGTAGTCTTAGCTGCTCAAGTTGTATGGTCTGAAGCTGTTGATAATGCTTTAATTGCTATGAAAGGTCAGGATACTTCATCACAAGACAATCCACTACAAAAATGTCTTACATCTGTTGAAGGTATGCTAAATGTACTGGCTGATTGTGTTTTGTATGAACAACCACCTGTTCGTCGACAAAAATTAGAACATCTTATCATTGAACATGTTCATCAACGTGATGTTATACGCAATCTATTGAGAAATAATGTCAATTCACCACGGTCTTTCGATTGGCTCAGTCAAATGCGTTTCTATTTTGATCCAAAGCAAACTGATCCATTACGACAGGTATCAATACAAATGGCCAATGCAAAATTCCAGTATGGTTTTGAATATTTGGGTCTTAATGATCGTCTTGTGCAGACTCCACTTACTGATCGGTGCTATTTGACGATGACTCAAGCGCTTGAAGCACGTCTAGGTGGATCACCTTTTGGTCCAGCAGGAACTGGTAAAACAGAATCAGTAAAGGCTTTGGGAACTCAATTGGGACGATTTGTACTCGTTTTCAATTGTGACGAAACATTTGATTTCCATGTAAGTATCCAAATTTTTGATATGATTGTTGCTTTAATTCTTTGTGTGTGTGTGTGATAATTAAAATTCAAAATTACTTCATTATAATTGTAATTCATTCTTATTTGCCTCTAGGCTATGGGACGTATTTTTGTTGGATTGTGTCAAGTTGGTGCTTGGGGTTGTTTCGATGAGTTTAATCGTTTAGAGGAGCGAATGCTTTCAGCAGTTTCTCAACAAGTACAAGGTATCCAGGAAACTCTTCGAGATATGGCCTGCTCTCAAAAAACCAACAACAAAGAGCCTGTCACAGTAGAACTTCTTGGAAAACAGGTATGTTAACTCAGTCAGAAGTTGATTGTTTAATTTCTGTTATCTATTGGCCAACTATTGTAGAGGTGTTTCTTTTCGGTTTGAAGCGCTTTTAAAATTGACCTACACCAATCGTTTGAATATATATACATATATAGTTTTACTTCATGTTATAGGTTAATGTTCATCCTGATATGGCTATCTTTATAACTATGAATCCGGGTTATGCTGGACGTTCTAATTTACCAGACAATTTGAAGAAACTCTTCCGTTCATTAGCTATGACTCAACCAGATAGACAATTAATTGCACAAGTTATGCTTTACTCACAGGTAATTTTAAGTTTATATTTTAATTGATGCAACTCATATCATTCATTCATCTAACTACAGGACGAAGTTGCTTGGAATTCTTGTGAGAAGTGTTGATCAGTGTGAGAACAAATACTTGGCGTTAAAACTCGCAAATTGGCAGAGGCTAGAATTGGTGGTCCACCAAACTCTGTCTTACTCATGAATAATAATCTACGACCTCGCCGTGGAACTTGAAGGCCTGGGGTTTGATCTGTAACGGTGGGGGGGGTCACTAATGTGTACTGGCTGACGAAGAGTCCTAAACATGGATAAAAAAAACGGCAGTCCAGTACTCCCTGGTTTTCGATTGTTCTATATCTGATATCAATTCGCCATTGAACTTGCAACCAATCAAATCCTTACAAACTGACTCACGGGAATTACTATCTCATCGTGTTTTTGCTGGTTTTCAAGCCTTCACTTTGTATATTTCACTGGCTGATTGACAAGTGTTCCTTGCAAACACTTGTCTGTGGTTATCTCTCTCTGTTTGTGTGTGTGTGTGTATGGCGGGGAGGGATCTCTTCAATTTTTTTGATGTCACATTTAGATTTGTGACTAATTTCATAGCATTTAAACTGATTGGAAAGATGTTCTGGTTATATTACGGAGCCCGACCGAAAGCTGCTACCTTGACGTGGTGGTCGGGCTTGAACACCTCAATGACCTTATCAAGCTATACTGTCTGCGACTTATGTCTCTTGAGGTCCTGCCATGTCAGAAAGGTTGTTTGGATAACGGTTAAACAAAAAGCAGCTACCCAATCCAACACTATGATACATACAAACTTACAAAATATCATGCCGGATCGGCCGTGGCCCGGATTAACAACGACCGCGCTTCCTGCTGCCGTGTCACAGGGCGGAAGTGATAAATATGCTACTGAGACACACCAAACAATAAAGAACAAACAAAAGCAGGCCGCGTGTGACCGGCCCCAAGCAGTTGTCCCCTGGGCTCTACGGTCACGCAACCAACTTCCACGGTGTGGGCAGCCGGGAAGTAACAATCGCCCTCACAATCCGAAATGCACGCGAAACCTCTCACTCATCTTTTTCTTCATCTTCATCTCTATATTACTGAGATTCCTGCTTATTCAAATATTGTATCGATGTGTGTTAATCTTACAATCATCTTTTATTATTTCAGGGTTTCCGTACAGCGGAAAAGTTGGCCAGTAAAATTGTTCCCTTCTTCCAGCTTTGTGATGAACAGTTATCTGCACAATCACATTATGATTTTGGTTTGAGAGCACTGAAATCTGTGTTAGTATCAGCTGGTCATGTAAAACGGGAACGTATTCGAAAATTGAAAGAGGATATATTGGCTCGTGGTGAAACGGTTAGTTTTTCTCAGTATTTTTTCACACTTTTTGAAGACTTTTTGTTTTTCTCGCTGATTGATTGTACCGCAATTGTTCTTCCACCAAGTGGTCTAGTGGAAAGCGGTTCGGTGTTTGAAACGAAAGGGTTACCGGGTTCTCGAGTGTCAGTGGGAATAGCAGCACATATGCTTCAACAAAAGGTCGGTTTTAGCCAACTACGAAAGTGCAGATCGTTAAAGACTCTTGGTGACATGACTCAGAATCATTCACAGTGAGGCAGATGTACTCATTTCTTAGTTTTCCAGTTCCTTAGACTTCTTTTTGTATTTTATTCCTTTATGTTCCGAGTGGAACCATAGAGCTTCAAGCTAGAGCTTTAAGGTTCAGGTAGCAGTGGTGTTTGTTTTTACGGGGTGGGGTTGCTAGCCTCCCACCCAACCTTCCATCTTTAGGGGGCCTACTATCGTCCTAGAGAGGTTTAAGGAATGCATGGGGCGAGGATTGAACCCTGGACCACTCGGGGCGTGGTTGGCAAGCATTCTACAGTTGAACCACCAACTCACTGAAACGCTCTACTGATCTTTATTTTTCCCCTTTCTGTCATTTATTGTTGCTTTTTTCAAGTATGGCGAATTGAATTGAAGCACTTCTGCCTACAGTTGTTCGTTAACCTACCAACCATTAACAAAGAAATGCGAGGGATTTAATGTATAAGTTGTTTGATAATACTTCATTTCATTCTTAGACAAAATGTAATTCAGTTATGTATTTCATGATGGTCGGCATTTCGTTACTGTACTTCAGAAATCTTTTTTAACCTTCAGAAGATATCTAAATACGTCAAGTTTCTCATTACTCTCTAGGAATTGCCTTTCACATTTGAAGTCCTCAGACTGCGATTGTGTATTTTTATTCTTAGCTGTGGAGAAGGTATGATGTACTTTAATTTATAATATTTTTTGTGTTTGTGTGTGTGAGTTTTTAAACCCTTTTTCTTGTTACTCATATTAGGTCAACGAAACATCAATTGCAGAAGCATTACCTGAACAAGAAATACTCATTCAATCGGTAATGGAAACAATGGTACCGAAACTGGTTGCCGAAGACATTCCCCTATTGTATAGCCTACTTTCTGATGTCTTCCCCGGTGTTCGTTACTCACAAGCAGCTATGGAGAGTTTACGCCGTGAACTACGTCGAGTTTGTGATGAAATGTACCTTGTGTACGATGAATCAGGTCTTGATAGTTCAGAAGAAAGCAGGGCCATGGTTCAACCATCAAGCAGTGGTACAAGTTCTAGCCTTTGGGTACAAAAAGTTTTACAACTCTACCAGATCACATGTATTCATCATGGTCTTATGATGGTTGGACCATCAGGCAGTGGAAAGTCTACAGCATGGCGTGTATTACTAAAAGCTTTAGAGCGCGTAGAAGGTGTCGAAGGAGTTGCACACGTAATTGATCCTAAATCAATTAGTAAAGAATCTCTTTATGGATGTCTTGATCCTAATACACGTGAATGGTCTGATGGTCTCTTTACTCACATTCTTAGAAAGTAAGTTTATCTTGATTTTCGTGTTCATGCATGTTCAAATTACTTCTGTCTTATTATTATTAATTGTTCTTGCATTCTACAAGTTTACAACGCAAGTAAGTACAAAGCATGAAAGTTAGGAAATTGGAGACAAGGTGATTATGCTTGTGAAACCAAAAGATTGAATGTTCGAACTGTACAGTTAGCTGTTTTTTCAGGACAGGGTTCAGGTTTATTGTCGATGTAGACTGACTTACTGGTTTCAACGTAGAAGTTTGCACAGAAGTGCAGCAGTTCGAGCTACCACACTCCATGTAGCACACAAAGCAAGAGAATAGAGGAAAGAGAAGTTCAAAATAGAGATAATACACAGAAGTCTGAGTGAGGGAAAGAGAATACTGATACGGAAGAACAATAGACTTCCATTGAATATCATAAATCAAAAAGAGTGAATGCTTCTGCGCTATCGCTGAGGACGATTTTGAGCCATATCAACAGTAGTCTCCTGCCCTCATTGGATCTTAGAGTTTCGAGGCTATCAACCGGGTCAACTACACCTTCCAACGCGGCTGGTTCAAACAAACTGTTAAAGAAATCATAGGCTGATTCAAAGTTCTGGGTTGACCACTACAACCACTGCCTCCAACTTTCTTCCAACGTGATCCAATGTCAGGTATCGCTGCTCGTCGAGGAAGGGGATGGTGAGGCATGAGTAGCACATGTCCTAACCATCTCAATCGATGTAACTTCACAACGTTGCCGATTCATTTTCCCTCCTTACCTAACACTCGACCTATGCCTCACCTCAATGGAGCTCACTCCATTATCCATCTAACACGGCAGGTAGAACTCAAACACCAGTCATCAAAGACAATTATGTATAATATTCATGTCTTCCACTTTCAATGGCCGTATCTCGTTCACAGCCATAGAGGAGGATGGAGCAAACTACTGAAGTAGTACACATATCCTCTGATCGATAGCCAGTTGGATATCACGTTTAGTCGAGAGATTTCGTAGTTTGGCAAATGTCAAACGAGCCTTCACTCCCTATTTTAAGCTAGGACTCGATGTAGTCCAGTTCTTTAGCCATCATCTTATATTTGACAGGAGTGAATCGCATGCTAAACATTCTCAGATTGCAGCTCTAGGTGTTCAGGAGACTCTGGATTTAATCACCTAGAAGAGAGAAGTATATAATCTGCATATCTTAAGTCAACGAGACTATGCCCTAGTAACAGGTCAGTTCCTGAGTCGCTGAAGTCGGTTGTTGGCAATAGTCTTGCAGTGATGGTCCTATAAAGTGGACAAGATGACAGTCGCATTTTCGCTGATCTGAAATCTCCACTACCATTTATTTATTGTCAGCAAAAACACTAGTAATTAACATGTGAAATTGCAATTTTTCGTTTACAAAGTGGTCATGTTTTCGCTATATTTCCCTCATTCTCCTTTGAGTGTTTATTTACCAATGACATTATCTTTCTCTGTGACGCTCCTAACAAAACTACAGACATATATGCCTTCGTGGTTGTAAGTGGCATGCTTCTTATCATATAAACATTAACTGATCAATTTTAACATTAGCTTTATTCGCTACTTTACACTTCACTTATATTTTCTCTTTCTCGCATTTTCTATTTTTTTAGAATCATCGACAGTATTCGTGGCGAGTCTTTCAAGAGACAATGGATTATTTTCGATGGTGATGTTGATCCTGAATGGGTAGAAAATTTAAATTCCGTCCTGGATGATAACAAACTTCTAACATTACCTAATGGTGAACGTCTTGGTATCCCACCTAATGTGCGCATTATGTTCGAAGTACAAGATTTACGTTTTGCAACTTTAGCTACTGTTTCACGTTGTGGAATGGTTTGGTTCAGTGATGATGTCATCCCCCCAGAGTTGGTTATGCAACATTTCTTGCGTCAGCTGAATAATTTGCGTATGGATGAAGGAGAAGAAGAAGCTTTTAGTCTTGGTGCAGCACCTGTCCCTGCTCCTTTGACTGATTCATCCGGAAGACATCCCAGTCTGGTTGAGGATACGGCAAATGTTGTCATTAGTCCTACTATGCAGCTTCAGCAAGAAGTTGCATTAGTGTTAACTCCATTCTTCGCCGAAGATGGTTTAGTCGCGAAATGTCTTGAGTACGCCAAAGGTCTTGAGCATATAATGGATTTCATGCCTTTAAGGGCATTAACAAGTCTCTTTTCAATTCTCAAACAATGCACCCGTAATATTCTAGCTTATAACGTTAGTCACCCAGATTTCCCGATGTCTTCGGATCAAGTTGAAGCCTATATGACGAAGTGCCTTATTACAGGTATTATTTGGTCAATGTGTGGTGATGGAAAATTAAGCGTTCGTGAGCAGTTGGGTTCTTTCATTCGTGAAATCACTACTATTCCAATGCCACCTCCTGGTACACCAGTCATTGATTATGAAGTTGCACTGTCAGGGGAATGGCAACCATGGGCTCAGAAGGTCCCTATAATTGAGGTCGAAACGCATAAAATAACATCCATGGATGTTGTAGTACCGACGTTGGATACTGTTAGACATGAAGCTTTGCTGTATATGTGGTTAGCAGAACATCGTCCGATGATCTTGTGTGGTCCACCTGGTTCCGGTAAAACAATGACACTTTTCAGGTAATTTTCATTCAAATGAGGTTCTCACTGATTACTTTTGATAATATAATAACATTTCATTTCTCGTTCACTCTGTTAACTCTAAATCTTTCTGCGTACAGCACAGTTGGCATGCGTGTCAATAGATAACCTACTACCCAGATTCCCATCTTAAGCGTGAGATGCTGAGTTGTATTTGCTAATTCCTTTTTACCTATACATAAGATAAAGCATAGGTGTTGTATGTGACCGCAGAGCTCCGGTGACATGTGTTTGAGGTCGGTCATACACGACCTGTTTGGGGTGGTTATTAAAGTAGTGTCCATTGGCTACTACGGACCGCCGCTAGATAAGTTGGGTTTACTATTTCCAAGATCAGCCTTTTCTAAACCCCGCTCTCCGGAATCAAGCGACAGCATAGCTGCTTGCGAGTCACATGAGGGAAATATCTTACTGCCGTTGTATCCATCTATTCTCCGGCACTATGACTTCCTCACAGACCCACAATAGTGTAATCAACGTACACTACGATGATCACTGACTTTAGTGTAACCGCTGCCCTAATAACCTTTTGACTTAGTGGGGCCTGCAGGAAGATTACTTTTATCCCGTGTAGCTCGTTGGGTCATTGCAATATGCAAACGTACCATCACGTCAAGGTAGCAACTATATGCATCGGGATACCGGAAGTACCATTGGGTTCAGGGGATTTCGGCGTTAATGAAAAACTTTCATACCGAAATTTATCAAACACACACACACACACACACACAGAATGAGTTCCACGACATCTCGTCGTGAGACAGTATTTCCTAAAGTTGAAATTTCTTATATAAAGACTTGATCATTTCTAATGTTGTGCCAGAGATTCTGTACAAGCGAAATAATATTTTTTAAAAGCTGTTTATCTCTTTACTTTTTAGTGCATTACGTAGCCTACCAGATATGGAGGTAGTTGGTCTTAATTTCTCCAGTGCTACTACACCAGAGTTAATGTTGAAAACATTTGATCAATATTGTGAATATCGCAAAACACCTAATGGTTTAGTATTAGCCCCAGTTCAATTAAACAAATGGCTTGTATTCTTTTGTGATGAAATTAACTTGCCTAATGAAGATAAATATGGTACTCAACGTGTTATCAGCTTTTTACGACAAATGGTTGAACATGGTGGCTTTTATCAAACTACTGATATGCAATGGGTGAAATTTGAACGTATTCAATTTGTTGGTGCATGTAATCCACCTACTGATCCTGGTCGAAAACCTCTTTCACATCGGTTCTTACGTCATGTTCCTGTTGTGTATGTCGATTACCCCGGTGAAACTTCATTGAAACAAATTTATGGTACATTCAATCGTGCTATGTTACGTCTTCTGCCTTCTCTTCGTCCTCAAGCTGAGTCGTTAACAAACGCAATGGTTGAATTCTTCCTTATGTCTCAACAACGCTTCACACAAGATATGCAGCCTCATTATGTGTATAGTCCACGTGAGCTGTCACGTTGGGTAAGAGGTATACATGAAGCTCTAAAGCCGTTAGACAGTCTCCCACTGGAAGGCTTAGTACGTATATGGGCCCATGAAGCTTTACGTTTGTTCCAAGATCGTTTAATTGAGGAATCTGAACGACAATGGACAGATACGAATATTGATGAAGTTGCTATGAAATATTTCCCTACAATTGATCGCGTTACAGCTCTTCATAGACCTATCTTGTTTAGTAATTGGTTGTCAAAGGATTATTCGTCAGTTGAGCAAGAACCTCTACGTGATTATGTGAAAGCCCGCCTTAAAGTGTTTTATGAAGAAGAATTAGATGTACCTTTGGTATTGTTCAATCAAGTTTTAGATCATGTACTTCGTATCGATAGAGTGTTCCGTCAACCACAGGGACACTTACTACTCATTGGAGTTAGTGGAGCAGGTAAAACCACTCTGTCTAGATTCGTTTCATGGATAAATGGACTAAGTGTGTTCCAAGTTAAAGTTCACAACAAATATACTGCTGAGAACTTTGATGATGATTTACGTAATGTTCTACGACGAGCTGGTTGTAAAGGTGAAAAGATCACATTTATAATGGATGAATCAAATGTTTTAGACTCAAGTTTCCTTGAACGTATTAATACACTTTTAGCAAATGGTGAAGTCCCAGGTTTATTTGAAGGTGATGAATTCTCCGCTTTGATGACCCATTGCAAAGAAGGTGCTGCTCGAGAAGGACTTATGATAGACAGTCATGAAGAACTGTATAAGTGGTTCACAACACAGATATGCACCAATTTACATGTTGTTTTCACAATGAATCCATCGGCTGATGGTTTGAAAGATCGAGCCTCCACATCTCCTGCTCTCTTTAATCGTTGCGTTCTCAACTGGTTTGGTGATTGGTCTCTGGAAGCCTATTATCAGGTAATGCATTCTTCTTACTATCGTTGTTATTAGTGTAAACTATGTAGCAGTTTCCCCCGAGGGTTCTCTGAACATATGAACCATTTTCATAGACTTATCAGTTAACGTCTCACTTTAAATTAGAAGACACTAAACAGTTTGTTTTATTATTTTGTAATCCTTTGACGGAACACATTAGATAACTATGTGCGTCGGTGGCACACAGGTTAGGACTCTAGCCGATCATGCACATGGTCTGAGGTTCGATCCCCTGCCGACGAACACCTGATATCTATGGTCGGCCTGCGAAATTTGGGCTACCGATATCCATGCTGAAAATTTCATACTTGTACCAAAAATACAGTGTGGAATCAAGCTGTAATGAAAAATAAAAAAAATACTAATAAATGTCAAAATTTCAATAACAGCGTTAAGATCTGGTAAGGAAAAACGTTTGATATCTGTCTACAGGGTCTACAGAATGCTTTTTTATGTGTTGGCTTTGTTCGCCCTTATCTCTGGTGCTTGAAACTCACTGTTCACCTGTTTAAGACTTTTAAGTTCTCTGTAACCAGTCAGGATCCTTTAATTTTCTACAGATTACTGTATTAGATGTTTCATCTAATTTTACATGTATAACTTAGGACCCACCGGCTAGACTTTATTATTTAGAGATTCGTATTATAAAAAGGAGCAGCAATGTTCCCCTGTTAATTTTAGTGTTTATACTCTTTGGTATCTCATTAGAATAGAGTTAGATTTGGCCAAATTAAGTCCTGGAATCAGTCCATGAAATGTGTTCAAATGTCTGTTTGATTCATGGAGGATTGGCTAGGATTATTTAGATGTTTAGAATCAATAGCATGAGACTGTTGGTCATACAGCTCAATTCTAGAACATAGACACACTTTTCGGCGTCCAACAATTGCCATATCTCTTGACTTGAAGGCGGCCTTCGACTCCGTGGATCGAAAGATACTATGGCAATGTTTGACTGTGAAGGAAGTGCCAAGAAAGTACATTGCACTAATCAAGGTACTCTATTCAAACTCACGTAGTCGTGTAAGGGCTTATGGGGAATTGTCATCTGAATTGATAACAACCAGTGGTGTCCGACAGGGATATCCACTTTCCCCATTCCTGTTTAACTTCATCATAGATATGCTAATGGAGGTATCCTTAACTGAAGGTAACGACTTAGGAATCGACTTGTTACCAGGGAATAGTCTTATGGGCTTAGAATATGCAGATGACATAGTCCTGTTAGGGGAGGATGGTGACAAAATGCAGAGTCTTCTGAACACATTGAGCTGCAATCTTCATGTGTTTGGCATGCGATTCGCCCCTGTAAAATGTAAGATGGTGCTACAGGACTGGATGGACTACGTTAACTCCTAGCTTAATGATAGGGAGTGAAGTGATAGAACATGTTGACCACCACTTCACCTATTTAGGAAGTTGTATCAGAACCAACGGACTGATGATTGGCGACGAAATCTCAGCACGGATCCAAAAGGCTCGAGCTGCTTTCGCTGACTTACACCATCTCTGGCGTAGGCGTGGCATCCGGCTGGCTATTAACCAAGGGACGTGTGTACTGCTCATCAGTTCGCTCCGTCCTTCTCTATGGCTCTGAAATATGGCCAATACGAGTTGAAGACATGAAAAGGTTCGATCATAGATGTCTGTGATCTCTTTCTCACATTAGGTGGTATAATAAGGTAAGCAATGTTGACGTAGAGTGGCGTAGAGTGTTGGGCAAAGAGAGAAAATCAATCGACGAGGCTATAAAGTTACATAGATTGAGATGGCTAGGTCAGGTGCTGTGCATGCCTAACTGTCGCCTCCCCCGACGGGCATTACTAGCTGATATAGGTGCGGGTTGGAAAATAGTGAGTGGTGGCCAAACAAAAACATGGCACCAATCCATGAAATCATTGACAGTTAAACTGAGTCGGTCAGGTAGGGAGGGAGATTCAGACTTCCGAGTTGGGGCCCTCGGGACTCTAGGAATCAACGGGTGGAGACAATAGGTGAAATGGCTCAAAATCGTTGTCACTGGCCAGCGCAGATGTATTCAGTCTGTGTAATCTCTCATATTCCTTCCTACCATTACCCATTCTGTTTCACTCTTATACTTGTCAGACTGTATTGATTCTCTTCACTCATCTTCTTGTCTACCTTTGTGCGTTATTTGGAACGTGGCAACTCGAACTGGTGCACTTTGGTTCCAAGTTCTATGTTGAATCCAGAGAGAGAGAGACGTATAGCTCAAATTTTTTGTCAGTAGTACAGTTACATTCAGTCTTTTTATACTCTCCTGATCATATTTTTCCACGTTCATATTCTTTCTGTTCATCATAGCTATTCTTAATCACTTTCCTCAACCTTTTGAGTATAGCAACTTGAAGTGCGCTGCACTTCTGTGAAATGTCCTATGTCGAAAACTCAGTTACACTAGATAGTTACTACCAATTTTTACTGAAATGTACTTCTTTCCTGTACCAATCCAGTTTCATTGTATTTTACTGTTTATTAAGTATTTCGATATTAGTTGGATATATTGAGATACTAATTAGTTATCGTATTTCAAAAAAAATTGTTAAACTTGGTTTAAACTTTTTATATTTCAGGTTGGCAAAGAATTTACAAGCAAAATGGATATGGAACGCCCTGATTATAAAGTTCCTGATATTATTCCTTCAGTTGTCGAAGGCCTACTACCCGAATTTCCATCATTTCGTGAAATGGTTTCAAATGCTTTTGTTTTTGTACATCAAACTCTACATGAAGCTAATCATCGGCTACAGAAACGCGGTGCACGCACCATGTGGATTACACCGAGACATTTCTTAGATTTCATTGCTCATTTTGTTCGTCTAATGACGGAGAAACGTGCAGATTTAGAAGAACAACAGCTTCACTTGCACATTGGATTGCAGAAGATCAAAGAAACTGTTGAACAGGTTAGCACATAGTAGTCATACTTTTGTTTTCGCTCCTATTGTACAGTATGATAACTTCTTATTTGCAGGTTCCGTCATTTGAAGGAAACCACTGGGTAACTAGTGGGTACTGGGGAGCTTTTTTGTCCTAGTTTGGGACCGTTCAGCAATACGCACCCACCGGAGTTTTAAATCCTGCAAACCCTTTATTAATAATCTTATGCTCATTCGAGACTGGCTTTATACAACATACCACTTAGAGTTCTAGTGAGAAGTGACCAGCTTGGGGGGTCCACTAGGTCTAGTGTGAGGACGAATACTTGCCGGTGACTTTGACAGGTGGTGACGTCTATATATCACAAATTGGCAGAATTCACGGCGTGCGTACCTCTGAAGAGTCACGAAGTACGGCGAAACAGCTGTCCAGTACTCTGATTTTCCAGTAGTTCTATAACTAATGTCGGCTTGCAATTTCATCCCTTTGCAAACCAACACTTGAAGTCTTCTTATTCATCTTCCCTTATCTTATGATTGTCCTTTTTTAAAAAAAAATTCCCTCCAGGTTGAAGTTATGCAGAAATCTTTAACACAGAAAAGCTTAGAACTAGAACAAATGAATAATGCAGCTAATGAGAAATTAAAGCAAATGGTTCAAGATCAACAAGAAGCTGAGAAAAAGAAGACAATGAGTCAGCGGTTACAGGAGGAATTAGCTAATCAAGAATTGTATATTAATGAAAAACGCACATTAGTTATGCAAGAGCTTAGTCAAGTTGAACCAGCAGTTATTGAAGCTAAACAAGGTATGTTTTCTTTTTGAATTGTGTGTTATTATAAGAAAGCTTGTACTGTATTGTTTCACTAGTACAGTCGGAAGTAATGCAGTGGATTACTGACCATAAGATTAATTGCTTAATATACTATTTTTTGATAGATAACTAACAGAGATGTAATGTAATTATCTGTTGCGCCTTTAAAGTATTTATTATTGTTCCCTTGGGCTTCGAGTGGAACCTAGGGCTTCAACAGTATATCTCAACGCTGTCCTATTTCTGCTGTCGTCTATAGCTGTGTCGACGATTGCCCATAGCCGCTTATCTCCTCCATGTTACCCTCGGATGACCCACTCGATGTATCTTGTTCGAGTCCCAGTCAAACGATGGCCCAGTGCGCGATGTCATTCGACGGTCTCCATCAGCGTGTACCCAGTTCATCTCCTGCATATTTGTTGAGCAGTAGGTTCTTCGTTAGTTTGTTCCTATAGTTTCTTGTTGCTAATTCTTCCTGGTAATTCGATCTTCATTATGAAGCCAGCAAAGGCGGCAGCTTTTAATTAAAGTCTGAAGTAGCCTGTTGGAAATGCTTTCGGTGAAGTGAGCGCCAATTTTCTGATCCATATAGAGGAAATGACTGACTTCATATTTGTGTTGAAAATCCCAATCTTGTTCTTTATGCTGACTGAGTTAGTGCAGATGATTGCCAAACTGATTTTCAGAGTGATGAAAGTTTGTTTCGATTTTCCGATTCTGACTTTTTAACATCTTCATCCGTTCCGCCTGTTGTTGAAGGAAGTAACCTCTTCCGAATTTCTCCCGTTGATAGTGATTGGTGCTGGTTTTTGTTGCTGTTAGTTGGTTTATCATAAAGTGTTATTGTATATTTTATTTTTCCTGCGAGATAGTGTTACATTTGGCTTTATGACTAACCAAAAGCACTCTCCTATGCTTGACTTTAAACCACAAATATGGGTACATCCGTAGGTCAGTGATAAAATCCTTTCCAACCACCACCCACTTGGTTTTGGGGTTCGATTCCCTAATTGGGGCACACACGACTAGACCTTGTCCAGCTTACTAGTCGGCGGTAAGCCCAAAAAAGTGGGAATGTTTGAACGCCAAGCTCTCACTTCTATCGCATAAAAACAACAGAAATAGTACTGAAACTTCAAAGACTGAAATCCTGTATATATTTCTATCAGAATTCCAAACAATGTGAAGTGGTTGCATGAACACTGCCGAAAGGCGACAATCTTTTAACACGACGAATACTGAAAGTAATGAGCAGTAAATTTAATGCAACTTATTCGTTAATGCCAATGAAAACGTATTCGTGTCACGCATTTTGATATAAATAGTATATGTGTTTATATTAAAATAAGCACAACTTTGAGAATTATCAGTATTGTTGGACTACGTGCCTACAATGTGTGTGTAAGTTGTTGGTTCTCAAGTATCTTACCAACTAGATAAATAAATTACAAAAATGACTATGATATTTCTCATCCTAGCTGTCACTGAGATAAAACGTCCACAGTTGGTTGAAGTCCGTGCTCTCGTCAATCCACCTCAGTTGGTGAAATTAACCATTGAGTCTATTTGTACGATGTTGGGTGAAGCTGAGATGGACTGGAAAGAAATGCGCTCCTTTTTAATAAGTGACAACTTTATCCCTTCGATTGTAAATTTCAATAATGAAAATATTACGTGAGTGTTGAGGAATACCTGTTGCGTATGTTGGCTGACTCACTGACTGTGTCTGGCTAGCTCCTTATGCCATACATCAGCCAATACTTTGTTTGTTTGTAAATACTTGTTACATTCCTGTGCTAAATTCTACTGGCTTATTTTTGTTTGCCAGAAATTTCCGGTGCTTGTCATTTTATTCTTTGCCTATTTGTGTTATTACTGTGCTGTTTATGTTTACTTAAATGTGTTTCGAGTTTCACCGCTGTTTATTATTATTATAATTACTACTACTACTATTATTAATTTCTGTCAGCTGTCGAGGGAATACGCAAAAGAGATATTCAGGAGATAAGAGCTATGAAAAATCCACCGTCTGTTGTTAAAATGGCAGTGGAGTCTATCTGTTTATTATTGGGAGAAGGATCGACTGATTGGAATCAAATTTTGAAAACGCTTGTAAAAGATTCATTTGTTCCTAGTATTGTCAACTTTAATACTGATGATGTAACGTAAGTTGTTTTGCTTCTTGCATTAATGGCATAACAAGAAACCTAACTTCCGGATACCATTCTCTTAGTATTTACACTGAATGTATATGTATCAGCTATGTTCTCTTCCAATGAATGAATGCACTACGAATTGATAAGCATCTTCATAATTTCTTGTTTCAAATTCTCTAATCATTGTTTTGTTAGAAATATTAGCTATGTTTTGCAGGAATTCATCATCAGCTGACATCGGTTAGAGAAACATCGGTAGACCTGGGAGTATTGGACAGGCGTTTCTAATGTCCTGGCTGAGGCTCTTCATCAGTACGCACCCATCGGGGGTTTGGATCCAGGACCTTCCGATTAAAAGACAAGCTCGTAGACCATTAATCCACTGGGACCCGATCCAAAGACCAGCCCATGAATTCTAACTTCTGCCTACTCATTATATAGCGCGATCACTCGCCTCCGTGGCGAGTATTTGTCCTCACATCCAACCGGCTGTGTACCCTAATGGTCAACATTTCTCACCAGCTAGGTAGCTACCTTGGTTCCAGTGGGAAGTACTCCCAGGTTTACCAATGTTTTTCTAACTGATATCAGCTGATGATGAAACCAATCAAATCCTTGCAAAGCAACATTTGTATATTGATGATTTTCTGTCATCATTGATTTTATGCTTGAAACGGTAATTTCATTGTGTATGTGTCTGTGTAGTTCATACGATTTGTCGTCTTTCTTTTGTTTTTTACGTAGTTGTTGGCGTTTTTTGCGTCGTCATGCGTTAAATGTTGCATATTTCTTGTTTTTGTTTGCTCTATGTATACTTGCATTTGTGCATTTGTGTCACTTTGGTTGGCTTTCTAATGATAACAATTATTTGATTCTAAACACCTCTTACTCTCTGTCTCTCTCTGTTTCAGTGACAGTATCCGGGATACAATGAAGAAAAAGTATATCAGTAATCCTGATTATAACTTTGAAAAAGTTAACAGAGCTAGTAGTGCTTGTGGACCTATGGTGAAATGGGCGATAGCTCAGGTCAGTATTTCGTAATCAGGTTGTATTGTGTGTGTATGTGTGTGTTTTCAATTCATCTGTTTTCTAAACGTTCGGCTTTCTGATTCGTGTTATTTAAATAAGGCAAGAACAACAAATAGTGCAGAATAAGATAGTACCATTTCGTTGACTTTTCACAAGCTACTTGCAGCCTAAATAAATTGTTATTAAGTTACAATTCTTGTGAATTTTTATATGATATCAGTTACATAACCATAAAATAGGGTGGTTCAAGATGAGACAGTCTTTAAATCTATCTATAACAGGATGAAGGGAGAGACTGACAACTGCAGCTTGGTTCATTTATCGAAACTACTAAAAATATATACATTAGGAATGATTCAGTACATCTCCTGGACATCTGGAATATTCTAAAAAAACCCACCTACGACAAATGGGAACTGTGATAATTAAGTTTGAAAGTTATATAGTTCCAGGTAGTGATTTATGATTATTATTATATAATAATAATGATTATCGTTCCCCTTCGGTTCCGAGAAGAATATAGGGCTTAAACAACACATCTCCAATCTATCCTATTTTCTGTAGCTGGGTCCACGATTATTTTACAATCTCTCAACTCTTCCTCACACGATTTCTTCTATTTCACCCACGCACTGACGACCCACTCGTTGCTTCCTATTTGGATTCCACTCTGGAACCTGACGCACCATGTCGTTCGACGACCTTCTCAATGTGTGCCCGATCCATCTCCATTTTCTACATATTTGTTCGGCGATCGGCTGTTGGTTGGTTTGTTACCTTGCTTAGTCAGTAGTTTTCTAGCCGGTCCCAATCACTGGTAAAGAGGGAGGGTTGGATGTGGAGCTAGCGATCCTACACCACAAAAACTATTATGTGTATATTATTTCCAAAATCAAAAGGTTTGGAACCAAAAGATGTGCCACACAAAAACTGATAGTTCGTACATGGGCTAGGATATTTATTGGTCACAAGCTCAGTGGTTGTCTTTGGGGGGCCATCAGCCGAGTCTTGGATGCATCCACAAGGCAGTGGCACAGTCCCATGATCGCCAGTAACCAAGACAGGTTCACAAGCTCCTCAATGATCCTTTCGGATTTTGGAGTTTTAGAAGAATTTGGGTTTTCCAGCTCTCCTACGTAAACCGGCATATCCACGAAGTCAGTGAGCACCGGACATTTACACACCACCGTATGATGACAGGAAATAGAACATACATTGTGATTTAGGCTATGAACGTGTGCGCCACATGAAAGCTTTTCAAGTGCAAGACCGTAGGTGTGCTTACCCTCGATCGAACGAGGTCGTTTACGGGAGTATTCAGTACACCAGTATGGCGTTTACAATCATTATTTTTATTTATTTATTTGTTTTTAAACGGTTTTTAATCCTCTTTTCTGTCTAGATAAATTATGCCGATATTCTAAAGAAGGTTGAACCTCTTAGAAATGAATTAAAAACTCTGGAGGCTGCTGCAACTAAAAATAAAGAAGAGGCAAATAATGTTGAAGTTACAATCGGAGCTTTAGAGAAAAGTATTGCCAAGTATAAGGAAGAATATGCCGTGTTGATTAGTCAAGCTCAAGCAATTAAATCAGATTTGGCAACTGTAGAAGCTAAGGTAATTCACACACACATACATACACAAATTGACTATTTCGATAAATTTTGATTAGTATTCGGTTGAATACACTTTCCTAGCGGATTATCACCTTATTTCTTTACACAGACAGTCCAGTTACCATATTTTGCATGGTTCTGTACCAAAAATACCTAGAAATTACTAGTTTTCTATGGTCATTGAGCGTTTTTTAATCTTTCTTTCATGCCAAATATGTGTGTAACTGAGCGTGAGGACAAGTACTCATCGATAACATTGATTGGCTAACAATGAGGCTAAAGATCGCGCATTGGGAGAAGTGAGAATTCATAGGCTTCTTAATTTCGTCACACTAGTTGTGATTGGTCAACGAGATCGCCCCATAACTTGAAGGCCTCGAGTTCGGTCTCATGTGGTGTCATGGGTGTGTGCAAGGCAGTTTTCCAGTACTCCCTGGTTGTCAACAGTCTTCTTACTGAAGTAAAACTTGAATTCTTAAATACTTGATGCGTATGTGTATGCATTTCAGCGGTGTAAACATGTGAGTTACAAAGTAGCACTTTCACAGAGTTCCATCATCGATCTACAACTATATGACACAGTATCTATTTTCGCGTATTGTACATTATGATTCACAATCAGAATTAAATTAATTTTTATGCATCTTTCTTAATTGCCTGTTTCTCCCCCTTTCCTCCACACCTTAGGTTGCTCGCTCCGTTGCACTGATCAAATCACTCAGCAATGAACGAGGTCGTTGGGAAAGTGGTTCTGAAACATTCAAATCTCAAATGTCCACTATATATGGTGATTGTCTGCTGTCAGCAGCATTTATGGCTTATGGTGGTTACTTCGATCAACATTTCCGTACACGATTGTTTACTACTTGGTGCCAGCATTTACAGTCTGTAGATATACGTTACCGTAATGATTTGGCTTTGGTGGAGGTGAGTGTTTCAAGCAACGTGTAAATTACTATCGACATGCTTAATAATCTTTTTGATAAGAAAGCTCATGACTGTCAAATGTACTGAAATCTTATTGTTTTCTGCCTTTTCTAGTACCTATCGAACCCAGATGAACGACTTAGGTGGCAAGCCAATGCACTTCCTGATGATGAATTATGTGTTGAAAATGCCATAATCCTACGACGTTTTAACAGATATCCATTGATTATTGATCCAAGCGGTCAAGCAACAGAATTCTTACTTAATGAATACAAGTCGAAAAAGATTATGAAGACATCCTTCTTAGATGATGCTTTCCGTAAAACACTAGAATCAGCCTTACGATTTGGTACCCCACTACTAGTTCAAGATGTAGAATCCTATGATTCTATTTTAAATCCAGTCTTGAATCGTGAAGTTCGTAGAACTGGTGGTCGAACTCTTATTACGATCGGAGATCAAGATATTGATTTGTCACCAACGTTCAGTATATTCCTGTCTACAAGAGATCCCTCGGTGAGTCTATTTTCTGTTCACATTTTCCTGACTTATTATTTAATAAAACACATATGTGTAGTGGAGCATCGGTGGCATAGCGGTTAGGACGCTTGCCGACCATGCACATGGTCCGGGGCTCGATCTCCGGCCGACTCACTCCTTTACCTCGCTAAGCTAGAAATAATGCTGGTAAAGAGGAAAGGTTGGGCATGAGGCTAGCAACCTCATCCTGTAAAATAAACCCTGCTACAGAAACTTCAAGCCACTAGCTTGAAGCCCTATGTTCCACTGGGGAACGTGAAGGAAAAAAATATGTGTAGTGGAGTATAGTCATCAAAGAATGTGTCACACAAAGTCTCCTAGTTTGTGTACCTGAATGCCCTGAGCCTTTTCCACAAGGCTGTGGAACAGCTGCAGGAACTACGTTCTCATAGTCTTCTGTGAACAAACAGGCACACATACTATCCGATTCTTTTGGATTCTGGAGACCATGTACACCATAGGTGGGGAGCCGCATGCCCACAAGTCCGGTTATTATGAGCCCCGAACATTTGAATCCTCACTTGTGTTAGGAATACCTCAGCCGCGTAAAGGCATTGGTTGGAGTGATGCTATCAGTCCACGTTTCCTCAAAAGCAAACACAAAGTTCTAATTCATTAAATGATAAATACACTTCGATTCAATTTCTAATGTGTGTTTGCTTTCTTCTTCTTCTTCTCTTCTATAGGTTGATTTCCCTGCTGATGTTTGCTCTCGTGTAACTTTCGTCAACTTCACTGTTACTCGGGGAAGCTTACAGAGTCAATGCCTAAATGCAGCCTTGAAAGCTGAACGTCCAGATGTGGATTCAAAACGATCGGATCTATTGAAAATGCAAGGAGAATTCCAATTGAAACTACGTCATTTAGAAAAAGATTTATTACAGTCGTTGAATGAAGCTAAGGTAAAACTTTTAAATTTTAGTGTGATTTAAAAAAAACATTCAGATTTTAAGTTATTCTTTTTTTGTTGACAACATGTGTAACATTCAAGAATTACGAATTAACTGATTAAAAATGACCATTAAAATTTTCAAAAGAATGGATACTGAACAAGGAGTACTCTTTTCGAAAACCCCTTCATCATCAGGCTCTACATTTATACATACATTATAGTGAATGAATGAATGAATTAGTGTCATGAACAACATTAATATTGTTTATATAACATCGAATCAATAATATTTATAAATTACAGCTGAATCGCATCAACATAAAATGTCAGAAGAATTAGGAAGGATAATATTACAAATTCATGAGTTTATAGTTTCTACTGAAGGCCAGGACAATAGTAGGGGCTAGACTTGCTTCTCTTGAACACAGAGCGCTGGTTGTTGGAGGCGAATTGCAATAGCCTCTGCTGTTTGGAGCCTGTGGTGCTTCGATGATTTTGGCAATTTATTAGGCACCCGGTATAATATAGAGAAGGATTCATCTAGACTGGCTTTGTGGCCTATTTGCACCAGATGTTCCAATATCGAGTTGTTCATGGTTTTCACTACACCTTTACTTAGCCATGCTGGGAGATGTTCTCGAGACAGCACGAAAAATCAAGTTCCTAGAGCAACGGCCAATATAACTGGCTCCACAAGCGCAGTTGAATTGATAGATACAATTAGATGTGGCTAGTCTAGGTACTTCATCTTTCAGTCGAGGAATCACCATAGGTCGCGTGGAGAATAATACTTGTAGTTCGCCAGCGGTAAAAGTTCTTTGAACTGATTTTTTAAATTTCTTCGCAATTATCTCGCTTGGTATATCGCGCATGAATTGTAGTCGTATATAAAGAGGCTTCTTTTTTACAGATAGTGAGTAGTCCTTTTCCGTTTTCTTTGTCATGTGTTTCTTGATAAATTTTTCCGGATAGCCGTTTTCAATCAAAGTATCATATACAATGCTTAATTCATCTTCAATTACTTCTTTTGAGCATATAGCTCTAACTCTGTGCCTGAGGGTCTTCACTAAATTTCTTTTATACTTGATAGGAATGAAGTTGTGAAAATGTGTATATTGTCTGGGCAGTGGGCAGTGTTAGCTGACGTAGGGTCAGGTTGGAAAAGAGGCAGTGGTGATCAAACCAAAACATAGCATCAGTCAATGAAATCCACAACAGTTAGTTTAAGATGGCCAAAAAGGGAGGTGTAGACTTCCCGGTTGGGGTCCTCGGGACAGTGAGTACCAATGAAGGCTGGAGACAATCGATGATATGACTCAAAATCGTTCTCAATGGCTGGCTCAGATGCATCCACGCCTTGTGACTTATAATATCCAACAAAACTATATTGTTTTTCCATATTACTATTCTCCTTGCCTCATATCTCTGTTTACTGTGTCTATTTTGCATTTCTTTTTACTTTCTTCTTCTCCTTCGTTGGCTTTGTGTGCTGAGTGAAGTGTGGCGAATTGAACTGCTGCGCATCGGTGCGAATTTCTATGTTGAAACCAGTCATTCAGTCAGAGAGTTGGTCGCTGACTAAAAATTTCAACGTGCATACAGACGGTTCGTTTGACATATGCCTGCTAACTTACGCTATCTCTCGCGTAGACCAGATATCCGTCTGGCTATCGATGAAAGGATGCGTGTACTGCTCAGCAGTTCTCTCCGTCCTCCCTTATTGCCATGAACGAGATGTGGCCAATGAAAATGGAAGACATGAATGTTACAGATAACTGTCTTTAATGACAGGTGTTAGAGTCCTGTCTGCCGTGTTAGGTGGTATAATGGAATGAGCTCTATTGAGGTGAGGCATAGATCGAGTGTTAGGTAAAGAGGGAAAATAAATCGGCAACGTTGTGAAGCTACATCGATTGAGATGGTTAGGACATGTGCTACTCATGCCTCACCATCCCCTTCCTCGACGAGAAGCGATACCTGACATTGGATCACGTTGGAAGAAAGTTGGGGGTAGTGGTTGTAGTGGCCAAATCATAACTTGTATTCGGTCCATGGAAATCTTTGACAGCTCGTTTAAGCCGGTCACGTAGGAAGGTGTAGACTGCCTGGTTGAGGTCGTCGGGACCCTAAGACCCAATGGTTAGAGGCCATTGGTGATATGTCTAGAAATTGTTTTCAATGATATGGATGTACTTACTCATTTTGATCTCCCACACCTACTAAAAAATCATCGTGGTTTTCCATGTTCCTGTTCTTTCTTTCTTACATTTCTGATTATTATAGTTTTAAAAGAATCTTTTTTGTCTTTCCCTTGTATCTGTCCACCTTTGTGTGCTACATGGATTTCGGGAACTTGAATTACTGCACTTCTGTGCAAAGTCACTCCCTACATTGAAAAACCATTCAGTTATACAGACTCACAATTCTGATTTGCATGTGATTTTTCATGTTCTAATGGGTGTATATGTTTATATCTTTTTTTTGTTTTTTTTATTTATTTTTTTCCCTACCAGGGTAATCTATTAGATGATGACAAGATTATCACCCGGTTAGAGACATTGAAACAAGAAGCTGGTGATGTAGCTAAAAAAGTAGAAGAAACTGATGTTATCATGAAAGAAGTTGAATCTGTATCACAACAGTATGTTGCACTGGCTCAATCATGTTCAAGCATCTATTTCACACTGCAAGCAATGAATCAAATTCATTTTCTTTATCATTACTCTTTACAATTCCTATTGGATATATTCAATTGTGTGTTAACACAGAATATTCGATTGAAAGATGTTAAAGATTGTACTCAACGATTACAAATTATCACGAAAGATTTATTCCAGGTATATATATATATATATATATATATATATATATATATATATATATATATATATATATATATATATATATATATGCATATAATACATACATATTGTCAATTTGTGCATTTATTGTCAACATATTTTTAAGTTTTATCTTTTTTGAGAGAATGGTCTACGGGCGAGCTTGCCTTGTAACCGGAGGGTTTTGGGTTCTAACATTGAATGGGGGCGGGGATTGCGTACTGTAGATCGGTTCCAAGCTAGGATGAAACAGCTAGCTTGCTGTCCACTACTCCAGTGCTGGCTTTTGATGGTTCACTATTATTATTATTGTTACTCCCTTGGGTTCCTAGTGGAACATATGGCTTCAACTGCACGTCTCCACTTGCCACTTCTGTCTTCCTTCTGCCGTACTTTTCACCTGCATCCATGTTAGTCCATACTGTTTCAAGTCCTCTTCACACAATCTCCTCCATTTCACCCTTGCACTGACGTTTCACTCGCCGCTTCCCTTTCGGTCTGGTTCCACTCGATCAATGACCTGACGTGCGATACCACCCAGCGGCCTCCTCAGCCACGAGTGTCCAATCCATCTCCACTTTCTCCTGCATATTTGTTGGGCGATTGGTTGTTGTTTTGTTTGTTTGTTCCCATAGTTTTCCATAGTTGGTGATTCTTTCCAGCCCGGACATCTGATCTTCAGTGTAGGGCGAAGACAGTTGTTGATGAAGGTCTGCAACAGGCTGTTGGAAATGTTCTTTGTGATCCGTTTAGAAGAACTGACTGACTTGACATTTGTATTGAGGATCCGATTGAATTTTGTTGTTGATGCTGGCTGAGTGACGAAGATTTCCAGACTGGTTTCAGGTTGATGAATGTGTGTGTTTCTCGCCTTCCCGATTCTCGCTCGATTTGACATCCTCGTGGGTTCCGACTTCCTGTAGTTGAGACAATGCTCCGTAGATAAGTGAGTGAATGAAGTGACCTATTTCAAATCCCTACTGTTGATGGTGATTGATGTTGGATTTTGCTGTTGTTGGTTGGTTGGTTGGTTGTTTATTTTCATAACCTCCGTCTTGTCACTTGGAGTCCTGTATTATCCGGCTGCTTCTTCGACCAGTTTGTTGGTCGCTTTTTGCTTATTAGTCTTCGATTTTGTGTGACATCAAATATAAATCATCCACGCGCGACCATGAACATGTTTATTATATTATCATTTATTTATTACTCCCGTGGGCTTCAGCAACACATCTTTACCTCATTCTTTTCTCTGAAGGTTTTTAAATTGACTCCAATGACCAGCTTTCATGTACTCCTCGCATAAACTCTTTTGCGTCACTATCGGACGTTTCAGTCGTCATTTCTCCTTCGGGTTCTGCTCGAGTAGACGGCCTGCCTGCACGCGACGTCACTGATCGAACTCAACATATATCCGATCCATCTTTCTGTATATCTGTTGGGCGATTGGTTCCTTGGTTATTTCTGTCTGTCTTGCTTTTCCTATCCTAGGTGGCTTTGATGCCCTGATTTGTGCAGCCTGTGGTTGACACTCTGCTGCGTAGGTGAGTTCCTTCGGACTTCTTCCGTTGATGGTAATTTTCACTTCTTGTCATTATTGGTTAGACGTCTTCTTCATTATCATCATCATCATATCTGTTTCGCCTATGATCACTTGAAGTCGTATCTTTGCTACCAGCCTTTTCTGCTTACTTGTTGTTTTTCTCCTGTGGATCTTCGAGTTTATCTGATATTGGACATAAATCATCCGTGAAGTACACGTCTGCTAGCGTCTTTTTCTCGATCCAAAATATGCTCATCGTTCAAATTCCATTTTGTTGGTAGCTAGTTTAATTATTGTAGTGGTAGTAATCATACTTCTGCCGTATTTAATAACAGAGGGCCCCCCCACCGCTTCCTCTGGTCTTTCTCGGTATCATTTAAGATTTAATTCTCTTTTTTGAAAGCTGTAGCAAACCTCCTGTTCATTGTTCTTCCTTTGCTTCATTCATTACAGGTAACATACAATCGTGTCGCTCGAGGAATGCTGCATAAAGATCAAATTAGTTTTGGCGTTTTACTGTCTCGTATTTTTATCAAAGGTCAAGTTACTGTAATGCCCAATGTCCAACCGAATGGCTTGGAAGCTGAATTCAATTGTTTCTTAAACGGTCAAGAAACTCTCAAAGATACCGGAGATACTTCATCTAGTGGGGGTGCTCTTCCACAAATAGCAGGCAAGGGCCAACGATTAAAAACAGTGTTAAATGCTTTCAAGAATTTGGATAAATTAGTTGCCCAGAATAATGATACTTTCAAATCTTGGCTAGAGAGTGTTTCTCCAGAAGTGAGTATATTTTCAAATTACTATTATATTCAGAAAATTCCTGCTTCACTATTATTATTATTATTATTATTATTATTATTATTATTATATCCTGGAGATTAAACATGCATTATTCACATTTGCTATTATTTGTACAGACGAATGTTCCAGTGATGTGGGAAGCACCGAATTCACCGGATGATTGGTTTGGTGTTGTACGCAATCAACTTTATAGTCTTCTTCTTATCCAAGCCTTTCGACCTGATCGTATGCTGGCTGCTGCACATCTCCTTGTCTCCACTTGTTTTGGACATGACTTTATGGAGTCAGCTCGTGGTCATTTGGAATTGATGCCTGTTGTAGAGCAAGAAATTCGATCGAATATGCCAGTTTTATTATGTGCTGTTTCAGTAAGTTAATAATGATTCTGTAAGATACATTTTTATGTATATGTTACAAATACATATAAAACCACTTTGACAGTTCTCAGTTGATATCGTGAATAATATTTCATTACTGTCTTAACCCTTTTCTTGCTTTCTTCAAGGGTTTCGATCCCAGTGGTAGAGTGGAAGATCTAGCAAATGAAAATAGCAAACAGTTGACAAGCATCGCTATCGGTTCTGCTGAAGGCTTTTCACAGGCTGATAAGGCAATCAATGCTGCTGCAAAAAGTGGAAAATGGGTTATGCTGAAAAATGTACATTTAGCTCCATCATGGTTGGTACAGTTGGAAAAGAAACTTCACAGTGTACAACCACATCCAAACTTCCGACTCTTTTTAACAATGGAAATTAATCCTAAACTACCGGTCAATGTTTTACGTGCTGGTCGGGTATTGGTGTTTGAACCACCTCCTGGAATAAAAGTTAGTCATTGTTTTTTATTTGAAATAAAATATACAGTGATAATGCACTACTATTAATAACTGGATGACGTTTCGAGCACAAAGTATTTTGCTGCTTATAGTCGTATCAGTTTAGTCACACGGCTTCATGATTTACTTTATGTTTGCATTCCCCCCCCTCTCTCTCCTCCTTGTTGTTCACTGTCACTCTCTGTATCTCTGGTATAGGCGATGCATCATTTCGACTGCACATGTGCAGTGTTGAATCGATAGACAAAGATTCAGCGATTAATCTCCCGTTTTCTCCCCACCTAACTATGTTAATTTTTAATACTGTCAACCTGTCGTTGTGTGATTACATGCAAGTGAATGCTATACAATGGTGAAGCTTTTTCTCATCACTTAGCAAGATCAATCATTCTATTTTTAGCTAAATTCTTATGCTTCAACAATCTAGTTGATCCCGATCTGCTAGTGTGATTGACGCATGTATTGGACCTCACTGACAGTCATTACATGGTATTTAGTAAATTATATTATTTCCCTTAAGTGGATCTATCGGGTTTTTAAACTGACACAGTTTATCTGTGGGAGAGTTGGTTGTTTGGTTTAAGTGCAATCCGAATTCTAGTCTCATTGAGAATCCTATGTTAGGCCTCTGGTGTTTCTTCTTTGTACGTCAGTACTACAGAGACTTTGAATTCTATATTATTTTCATCATTTTTATTACTAATCTTGTTTTTCTGTGGGTCCTCATACATCTCTGAATAAATTCAGTTGAGTAGTTATTCACTGATAATAATTTCTGTGCGTCGGTGGCACAGTGGTTAGGACTCTCGCCGACCATACACATGATCCGGGGTTCGAGCCCCTGCCGACGCACAGCCGATATCTATGGTCGGCCTGGAAAATTGGACTACCGATATCACATGCTGAGAATTCCATACTTGTACTGAAAATACGGTGTGGCATCAGGTTGTAATCAAAAACTTAAAAAAAATTATTTTATTTGCTTTCATTGTATAAATCTTCTGGCTTACTAGTGAGATTCCTGACCTACTTTTAAAGACAATCGACTAAACCTGTCTTTACTAATTTTTGGTGGGATGAATTTAAATATAGTTTAAGTATTTATTAGAGTGTGTGGGTTTTTCTATACCCCCCCGCCAAGTTGTTTTCGTTTTTATTTTGCAGTCAGTGTAGCATAGCCAACCCACCTACCTTGTTCACCACCTTCTAACTCTTTTTCTCATACCCTTAAACTATAATCACTTTATCAGCTGATTGAATTCCCGAAACTCTAATCTTTATTGTGTTTTGTTGTTTAACATTTCAGGCAAGTCTTTCGCGTACATTTGCTAATGTACCTGCTAGTCGAATTTCACGTGCTCCTGCTGAAAGAGCTCGTCTCTACTTCCTACTTGCTTGGTTTAATGCTGTTGTTCAAGAACGACTAAGATATGTACCATTAGGTTGGTCAAAACGATATGAATTCAATGAATCAGATCTCAAAGTCGCTTGTGATACTATTGATACCTGGGTTGATATGTCAGCGATGGGACGTTCTAATCTACCTCCGGATAAAGTACCATGGTCAGCTTTGCGTACATTACTAGGACAATGTATTTACGGGGGTAAAATTGATAATCTCTTTGATCAACGCTTGATGGAAACATTCCTCAGTGAATTGTTTACAGAAGCTAGCTTTGAAGTAGGTTATCATTATTATTATGTTTTTAATGAAAAAAATTGACTTTTTCAGGATTTCATCATGAGCTGACATCAGTGGGAGAACCATTGGAAAACCTGAGGGTAATGGACAACTGTTTCGTCCTGGTTTGGGACTTTTCAGCTGTACGCACCCACCGGGATTCGAACCCAGGACCTTCCGGTTACAATGCTAGCTTGTATACCATTAAGCCACTGGGATCCGATCCAATGATCCTTGCGTTCTAACTTCTGCCAATTCACGACATAGCGCGACCGCTAGCCCATGTCTTCGGCGAGTAATTTGTCCTCACACCCGACCTGCTGCACCCTACTGGTCACGACTTCCCACTGGAACCCCAGGTAACTACCTACCTGAATAGGGCCAGTCGCCAGTGAGCATCTCATTGGTATTGAAGTGTTGGTTTGTAGGGATTTGATTGGTTTCAGGATTTCATCATGAGCTGACATTAGTTATTGACTATTTAATTATTAATTAATTAATATTATTACTATTACCATTATAAACTATTGTAGGCATTTAATTGGAAGTTTGTTTGAATCTACTAAATGTAAATTAACCAGATGGTCAACTTAAATGTGTTTAGAAAGCCGACGCATTCGGATAGAGATACCTAGACTTCTTCTCAGGAAATCCATTTACTACCAAAGTAACTGTGACGCAGAATCTGACTAACAGAGCCAAAATGTCTAGTTACTGGAGTGGAAGAGATTAGCAAGGAAATGCAGTTGGTTTAAACCACTCTTGAATCAAATAATTATTCTAAATCTTTTATAAAAAGATATTTAAACTGTGAAGATAAGGATGAATCGAAACCTATTGCTAAGAATTAAGTTATTACTTTGATGATTCCTTCCCGCCAATTAAAAGCGAATCCTTAACAATCATGACAATCAAGAGCTTATTTTCTTGCAACTTACTCCTTACGCTCATCACTGGTGAAGTTTAAGGATAAAATAGAATCAAGAAAATCAACAGAATTGTGTGTACCAGATCAGTTGTGTGGATTGTGACATCGTATATGTAGGTGAAACTTCCAAACAGGCAAATATTAAGAGTAATGGGGCATAAACAAGGTGTAAAGGTGGTTCCAAAGACCTCTGCAGAGACTTGAAGGAGCTAGAAAACAGGTCAACGGTTGTATTGCATTCGATAGAAACGGGACTCAATATCGACTGTGATAAGACCAAGGTTCTACAGAACGGTTCGTATGAGGGAAAACTAACTGACTTCAGAAGCACCACATACATGAGTGAATCCCAAAAGTCTGAACGGACGTGAAGGTGTGAAGTTAGCTGGTGCATGATTAATAAATAAAAATCGAATATGTATCACTAATCAATCTAAATTCCTGATTGTCTATGTCTTTTTATGGATAGTCCCCAAACACACATGCACACATACCATTTCGCATGTATTTCTCATATTCAGTTATCTGCGGCCATGAACTTTAATCGAACGCAATCACTGAAATCTTGAGAAAGTAAACTTTGTTTACAGTGTTAAACAAACTAAGTCTGAGGTCGAATTTTAATCATAGTTAATGCAATTTTGTGTATTTATTTTTTGGTGGCTGTTTCATGACTTGAACATAACTGAACAAAGTTTTTTAAAAAACAACAGATTGCCTTTTATTTTATGTAAACCTATGTTATTTTAATTTCGATTAATTTCTCTGAAGAAGTTTGAACCAGTTTTCCGGACGTAGGCAACGTTGGATCTATTCTTTTAATTAATAAATGTCTCTGAGATTTTACAAATATAATTTTTACATATGTCTGCAATTATTTTGGAACTTTTCGGTCACATTTTGTTCACAGTTCAAATTAATTAGCCGTTTAATTTATGTGCGCCTAAAATAGCCTTGAGTAACTAATTACGGTGTAATTTTTTTTTGCAGCATGACTTCCCTCTTGTACGTAATGTTGATGGACAGGTTGGCAAAAATATTTTAACACCCGATGGTAGTTCACGTGAAGAACTATTGGCATGGATTTCAAAATTACCTGATATTCAAACACCTTCTTGGCTTGGTTTACCTAATAATGCAGAGAAAGTTCTTTTAACCAACTTGGGTAAGTTAATAAACATATATATTAGGTTGTAAAATAATATACTGTAGCTATAAGTAGAGGAATACTGTTATTTGTTGAATGAATGATCTTCATTTATTTTACTTTATATATAAGGTACCCAGTGAAAGTCTTCGTAACTGTTGCATTTTAAAAGACCCTAGATCCCATCCACACTTCAGTGTATCGATTATTTTTTATGAATTTTAGGTGGTGAAATGATTGGCAATCTACTAAAACTACAAGAAGCTATCAGTGATGATGATTCAATTGTTGTGACTGCAGGATTAGATCGTAAGAAGTCAGTAGTAGACACTGACACACGTCCTGTATGGATGCGTCAACTTTTATCCAGTGCAACAGCTTGGCTATCTCTTCTTCCCAATTCTATTAAACCGTTGACACGTACACCTGAAAATCTACGTGATCCATTATATCGATTCTTTGAAAGAGAAGTGAATACTGGCTGTAATCTTTTGACAACTGTACGAGGAGATCTTAGTGTGGTTATCGCTGTAAGTAGTACCTTTTGTTTCCCTCATGATCTGTACTTCTGTTATTGCTATTATTATTTATTATTATTGTTATTCATCTGTTGAATTCTAGGTGGAACATAGACCTTCAGCTGCACATCTCCGCTTTACTCTGTTCTCTGCTTCCTGTGTAATCCGACTCAGTGATCTCTCACAAACTGATTTCCTTTTCATATGGTCTCCATGCTACCCTCGGACACCTAAGTCGTCTCTTGCCATTCGGTTATCACTCGAATAGGTTTGGTATGTGACGTCAATTAGATGTCTCTGGAGCGTATGTCCAATTCATCACCATTTCTTTCTGTCTAGTGGATTTTTGGCTGGTTTCTTACACACTACCAGAGTTCCTTGTAGCTTGAAGTCTCCTTACATCTGATAACTTTTCAATTCATCTATTCTTACCCATAAATTATTTCTTTTTTTATTGTAATACTATTTTTAGGTATGTTCTGGTGAACGTAAACCAACAAATCATCATCGTAACTTAATGTCTGACCTAACGAAAGGAATTATTCCAAAAGATTGGCGACGTTATGCCTTCCCAGCAAGTCTGACTGTTATTCAATGGATAAATGACTTTGTTACTCGTCTAAAACAATTACTCCAATTGTCTGAAAGTGCTTCTTCAAGTGGAGCAGCCAGTTTAAGAGATATGCAGGTTTGTTTCACATCAACTATTGCTGTTTTTTGAACTATAAACAATAAAATACAATAATAATATAGACAAAGCACTAAGAAGACGTAATTTGTCTGAATTGTCTAATGTAATTGCGGAACACATTTTGAGCAGTCTGATCACACACGGACTTGTCATAGGAATATATATGAAATTAATAGAGAATTAAGAGGTGAGAAAACAAATTTAGGTCAGGTTAAAAGGATATGTTGAAGGTCAAAATCACAGTGTGGCTGGTATCAAAATGAAGTTTACCAAGGGGACGGTAGGTTAAGTGTGATGACTAATTGTAGCTTTGAACGCATAAGGAGCTGGTTTAAACTTTCTCGTTGCTGAGGCTTCCACAGAAATGCTGCAAATACGTTTTATGCATAAGTGTAAAAGACGCGTAACATCAATTTAATCTCCTGTCTCCTTTTTGGTATGTTTCGCAATAGAGGAGCTAGGTATCCTGTTCTTACCAATAATGACTTTTGAGGTTACTATTTGCTTCTGAGAGCCATTTAGGAATGTGATCTGAAGCCACCCCTTACTTGCAGAGATCGATGAGTCCTCCCTATGTATGTGTGTACACATGTACATTCAAATTGGCCAATACATTGGGATGTGACATCATTTTTCGCCTGTTCAAAGGGCTTAAATGAATATATTGGCTTCAAATTCTCAATTATTATGATCTTGGCTGCATAAAAAGTCTTTTTAACAGTAGCTTTCAATCTTTGTCTATTTGTCAAGCTGCTAAGATCCCTCACATAGGGTAGCTTAGGGGTGGAGTTAGAGAGTGGGTCTTGGTGTTCCGCTGACAACTTTATATCTCTTGATGAACTTGTCTGGGTAATTATCGTCAACCAGAGTTTGTGTCAACTTACTTTCTACCTCATCAAGTGTGTCTTCAGTGCATACTTTTTGGATTCTATTAAAGAGGGACCTTACTAAATCTCTTTTGTGCCGAACGGGGCGGAAACTGTCAACTTTATGTCACAGTATTCAATACAGTTTCATTATAGTTATTTTGTATAGGAATTAGTGGAGTTAAGAAATTAAAGAACGAAAATAGATCTAATGAAAAGGCTCAGACATACCAAGACTTCTGTTCAAAGCATTTGGAAGATTCTGTATTTTGTCAGTGTCTTCAACTTGATAGGGACAGCATCATTTGTATACTCTGATTCCACGAGACTAAATCCTGTTGGCATGTTGATCGCAAAGTTGTTAAAGTCACACCCACTAGTACGACTATGATGAAATTGAAGATAAGTAGAGGCATTAGGTGTGATTCTGAAGGACACTATACTGGCTGTGTCATCACTTCAGAGAACAACTCTTGGTGTAAGTTGTTACACAACTATGTGGTGAGTGCTACTGATGAGATTTATCAGTAGTATATAAAGACATGTTCATTAGCATCTGATGTCAGAAAAGGCAAATGGTACGGCGTTGTGGGAATACATGGGGGACGTGGAAGGAATACAAAGAAATACAGTATGAAGGCCAGGAGTATTACCACAACACGAAGGTCTATGCAAATTATGCATTGCAGATAAGGTGTACATAATTTGGCTACACAGAGGTACCAATTTCCAATTGAACATTCCTTTACCAAGTCTTTTGTCATTTACGTTTTCACAGTAGTAGCAGTAAACTGCCCTAAATTATCTGAAAACTGCTTATCATATATATAATTTATGTTTGAATTTCCCACAGGTTTGGTTAGGTGGACTTTTTATGCCAGAAGCTTATATCACAGCTACGAGACAATATGTGGCTCAGTTAAATGGTTGGGCTCTTGAAGAATTATACTTAGATGTTGAACTTGTCCTAATGGACAAATCGAAGAAACCACCTCAGTTGGCTTCATCTAGCTCAGGAGCGTTTATTGTTCGAGATTTATGGTTAATGGGTGCAGAACCTCTGGATGCAAATACAATTCGTTTATCAAATTCTATTGCAACTGAACTACCGCTGACAGTATTGAAATGGATCAAGTAAGTTTTCATACAAAGCGCGTGTTCTTCGGAAATTCATTTCGGTGATTGTTTCCCCTTTGATATGGACTTGATGCTGTCTAAATCCCACTGAAGACCACTGAATACTGGACAGTTATCTCTCCCCTGTTTAGGACTCTTCATCAGTGTGGACCTGCTAGGGGTCGAACTTAGGACTCTCTAAATACAGAGCCAGCTCATAAGCCATTCAGCCGCTGTGACCTGATTCAATGGCGCATGCATGAATTTCAACTTCAACCAATTCGGGATTTTAGTATAACCACGCGCCGATGTTTATCGGTGAGTGAGTATTTGTTCTCATGCTCGATTGAGTAGACCCTGCTGATCACGACTTCTTATTAGAACTCCAGGCAACTTTGTCTCGTGCCCTGTCATAGATGTGTATTGCTGAAGCGTCCCGAAACTAGGACGTAATGGCTGTCCCCAGTATTCTTTGGTTATTTTGTCTGGTCTCTTAACTGACATCAATCTGTTACCAAACTTGAAATAATGTTTTTCTTCTTTCTATTTCTTTTTCAAGTTGTAACACGTTCTTCTTCTCCTCATCTGTATGTTGATTAGCAGATGCTTATTTTCAGAGTAACAGATAAATTAGCTCTACAGGTGTATAAATTAATGATGTTAAAATATAACGGTGAATTTCATACAGAATCCACGTGCTTGTATATCAGACTATGAGGCACTTTTGTTCATTTGGTGTAGGCTTTCAGCTTCCAACCAAGTGGGTTGTAGGTTTGAATTCCATTCAGCTTACCTTGGGGCAGCCAAGATAGTATCACTAGTCAGTCTTCACACAATAATTCTGATTCATTACTAACTGTAGTGTACACCTGTCGCCCAATAGTAAGTAATTCTACCAAAACCTTTGATCAAACCAAAACTTGTAACCAGTTCATGAAGTCTTTGACAGTTAGTTTAAGCTGATGTGTTTGAGGTTCTCAGGTGTCTAAGATCCAATGGCTGGGGTTAATTGGTGATATGCTTAGAAATCATTCTGAAATGGGGCAGATGCATTCACTCTTTGTAAACTTTCATTTCCAATAAAACCCTTTTATTTTTGCTTGTTACTATTCTTTCTCCCCACATTTCTGCTTATTATCTCTCTTTATTGTTTTCTCTTTTGCTTTGTGTTATCGTACATGGAGAGTGGCAGCTCGAACTGGTGCTTCACATCTGTGCAAAGTTAGTTGTTTGGTGAAACCAGTCAAGTCAGTCAGTAGGTCACCAGGACCGAAAGTAGATTGTCTAAGTACATGCAAGTCATAACAGCGTAATTATGTTTTTCAGCCCTCATAGTGTGGCTGATTTGGCGAGATTCGTGATCTCTTCTCTCTATATTTTTTAAATTGGCAACTGTAGAAACGTATTTCATACCTATGTATATTATTTCATTTTATACACAAGCTAGAGGCTTGAAGTTTCTGTAGCAGTGGTGTTTATTTTTTACAGGATGGGGTTGCTAGCCTGCCTCATGCCCAACCTTTCCTCTTTACCAGCATTATTATTTCTGGCTTAGCGAGGTAAAGGAGTGCGTCTGTGACCGGGGATCGAAGCCTGGACCATGTGCATGGTCAACGAGCGTCCTAACCACTGTGCCACCACCTATATGCTACTTGATTAATTCTAATTGTTTATTTTAATTTTTTTTGCTATTTTTCTAGAATATCCACCGACGAACGATCTTCACGTTTCCTAGAAAAAGAAGGCAGTGTCCGATTACCGGTTTACATGAATGGTTCACGTAGTGTTGTCCTATTCACCTTACAATTAGTCTCATCCGAAGCGTCGAATACCTTCTATGAACGTGGTGTTGCCTTCCTTGCCTCTTCTCTCGCCTGAGCTATGTACCTGCCTGCCTGCCTAATGTGCGTGCGACACAACTTCTATATATCCTTTTATTTGCCGTGCATACATTGATAATGACATCGCATACAATAACATTTATTGATATTTTTACAACCATATAGCACCTTGGCATTAGTGCTGTTGTTCTTGTTGTCGTCATCTCGTCCTCGTTGTCATCGTTGGACGATTATCACCAGTAATTATATATAGTGTCATTCTTTGCGCCAGCATATTATTCCTTATCGCAGAGAAGAAAAAGAATACACGTCATAACAACATGTATATGTAGAGAGAGAGAGATCTATCGATGAGACGATCAGATTGCGTTTTCTCTTGTCTTGTTGAGTTTTTATTCGGATTATTTTATTATTATTATTATTATTATCACCATCATCATTAAAGTTTTTATTTCCTTCTGAAACACCCCCCTGTGTATCAGCTTTTATCCATGTTTCTTTTTTGTCTATGCGAACATTTTTACACATATCTTCTTTTTATGGCTGTTTACCGGTCATCACTGAGTTGGTTTTTTTTGGATGTTTTGCTGTTGTTGCTGTTTTTAAGATTATTATTATTATGTATTTACTTATACTTATTTATACTCATAATGTGATCTGGGTTTTCCCCGCTGTCCTGTTTTTAATGTGTGTGTGTGTGTTTGCGTGTGCGGTTAACAAAGTACTTTCCTCATTTTGTGTAATGTATAATTTTATATATATATGTCTATGTAGGGGGAGTGAGAGGGAGAGAAAGGGATTAGAGACTGCTGTGGTAACCACCTATGCATCATTTTGTTTTTGTTTTTTAGGCTTTGCTATTTTAATTATAATGTCATAATTTATCTGCCTGCCTGTTGCACCATCTGCACACACACACACACACAATGTGTTACTATTTTGGTGCCGTGGGTAGTGGTGGTGGTGGTGATGGTGGTCAGGTATTGTAACTTTGTTTCTTCTCTCCTCTCTTTTTACTTTGTCTTCGTCTCTTGTTTTTTTAAAAGAAGAAAATTGTAACAATAATCATTTGTATTCACATCTCTAATAACAAGTATTACTTACTTATAATAATGAATGCGACTTCATAACACCTTTCTGCGTTGTTGTTGTTGTTGTCGTCGTCTTGTTTACAAGGATTATTCATTTAGGTTTTCGAGGGGGACCCTAGCAACAGCGGTAGTCGTACGTGTCCATTTCACCCTACTTTTTGCGGCTCCTCGTTAGTCTTTCCTACTCACGGTTTCTCCTATGTGTTACCCTCCAGTTAACGCTCAACTTGTCGTCTTACCCGGTGTGGATTCCACTTGAGGGCCTGCTTAGCTCGTGTAATGTCACTTGAACGCTGCCTTAGTGTGTGTGTGTGTGTCCAATTCATCTCTATTTAAAATAAACAACAAATATTGTGAATAAAGTAAGATATAGTGAATTTATCAAATTTCGGTAGAACTACTCTTCAGCAGGATATAAAATTAAGGTAAAATGCATTACGCCTCTAATACATCAATTAAACAAACAATTATTTATCAGTTAGTGAAAGCACTTGAATTTATCATGAATTGCGGGTTAAATAATATTAATAATATTAGCAACAATAATAATAATGTTAAAATGAGTTTAGATAACAGTACTGATAAACGACAGTTTTCAATAAATCAGGAATAATCATGGAATGTACACATTGGGTCATAGGAGTTATTAAGAAGACAGTTGCAGCGAACAATATTTTCTTTTCGACGAAGTCATCATCTAGACTGTACATTCGTGTATTTATATCAAGTGGATGGGAAAGTTCCAGAATTATTTCCGGTTAAGGGTCAAATGAATAAGAATTAAAATTAGGAATAAGAATGCCATAATAAACAGGGGGGGGCGGATAAACCTCAAACAAAGTAGCATCATAATTACTAAGAGGATTGACATTGTGCAATTGGGGGTTAGAAATGTAGAAATAACAATAACAATAGACAGGATGTTTGGATAAAAAAACTAATGTGATGAATAATTGTTTATGCAATCAGGGATTAAATATGTAGAAATAGTAAAATGACAAAATAAACACGAAGTTCGGAGATGAAAATATGGTAGTGTAAACAGGGATTAAGAAAACTTAAAAATAACATGAATAAACAGGAAGTTTGGATAAGAAAGGCGATTGGATGGTCATTACTAAAAAAAATTACCCGTTTATGATGGCCATGGCAGGGACAGGGTTTGGACGCATTTCTTTTGGATACGAAGCATGGGTTTGAGCTTTTGAATAGCTAGTGCCTCGGCTATGCTCAGATGTCTTAATTTCACTCCCTTTGATAGGTTTGATTGAATCTTGTATATTACTTTGAAGGATTTTTCTAAGGGCGCTGAATGTCCTGAATTGACTAGATGTTTTGTCACTGAACTGTATACAGGATTTTGGTCTCCTTTTACTAACCAGGCTGGATAGTGTTCACGAGCGCATGGTACGGCCGATGTACTCAGCTCCACAAAAGCAATAAACTGGTATATGCTCGTTGAGGTGGCCCAATGTGACAGCTTGTCCTTTGCATTCTGACTGAACAGTTTCTTGCAGGAAAACGTCAGTTGTAGGCTTGAGGCGAAGTATGTTTTCCTCAGAGATTTAGAGAGGCGTTTACAAAGGATTTCTGCTTCAATATCACCTTTGAATTCTAGATTAAGCAGAAGTATTTTCTTTGGAACGGATTGGACTTGTTCGAAAGTTTTCTTAGATTTGAGATTCTTGTCTATGAACCTGGGCGGGAAACCGTCTTTCATCAGGGTTTGTCTAGGATTACGCAGTTCTTCTTCAACCAATTCCTCGCTGCATATCTTCCGAATCCTCGAGGAAAGAGCGCATATCAGGTTCCTTTTTCTGCTTAGGGGCACGAAACTTTGAAAGTTGATGAATTGTTCAATTACAGGAATAATACTATTAATAATAAGATGTGAAATAAAGCATGAAAATAATAATAATAATAACAGTTGATATGCAAGACGTATTAATTAGCATGGTGCCACCATTTCCTGTTGTATGCACAGAGACGTAGCTACTAAACTCTAATTACACAAGTTCCCTATAACTGCAAGCATCTTCCTGTTTGTTTGTCAGCTGAACACAGTGTGGATGACTTGACAGTGTCATTATCAAGTTCGTAGTCTACAAGGTACTTTGTTATTGTACTCTTAGGCACTTTGACTTCAGATGTTTTGAGCCAACTTAGTAAATACTTCATCACGGGACTAGACACTAGCCTTTCTGTACGACCTATGTATTTGCGCCCACAAGTAAACTGAGATATGAGGCAAGGAGAATAGTAATATGGAAAAACAATATAGTTTTGTTGGATATTATAAGTCACAAGGCGTGGATGCATCTGAGCCAGCCATTGAGAACGATTTTGAGTCATATCATCGATTGTCTCCAGCCTTCATTGGTACTCACTGTCCCGAGGACCCCAACTGGGAAGTCTACACCTCCCTTTGTGGCCATCTTAGACTAACTGTTGTGGATTTCATTGACTGATACTATGTTTTGGTTTGATCACCACTGCCTCTTTTCCAACCTGATCTTATGTCAGCTAACATCACCCGTCGAGGAAGGCGATGGCTAGGCATATGTAACACATGTCCTTACAGTCTGAGTCTACGTAACTGCTTCACAACCTCATCCATTGACTTACCTACCACTCGACCTATGCCTTACCTTAATTTGCTCACTCTATCATACCAACTAATACGGGAGACACAACACAGACACCTGTGATCAGAGACGGCTAGCCAACCCTCTCATATCTTCCACTTTCAGTGGTCATGTCTAGCTCGTCCATAAAGGGGGAGGATGGAGAGAACTGCTGAGGAGTCCACACGCCCTTTGGTCCACAGCCAGTCGGATATTACGTCTACGCCAGAGACTGCGTAAACTGGTATATATCAGAAGAGCCTTCTGTATCTGCTGGGATTTCGTCAGCAATCAACGTATTTGGAGTGGCTGATGCAGCTTCCCAGATAAGTGAAGTGGTCAGCACGCCTGGCCACCACTTCACTCGCTATTTCTAAGCTAAGGGTCAATGTAGTCCAGTCCAGTCCTGTAGCATTATATTACCTTTGGAGGGAGCGAATCGCACGCCAAACATTCGCAGATTGCAGCTCAAGGCACTTAGAAGACTCTGCATTTCGTCAGCGTCCTCGCCCAAAAAGGACTATATCATCTGAATATTCTAAGTCAACAAGGCTACTACTATCTGGTAGCAAGTCAATCCATAAGTCTCTGAAATGAGTTAGGGTTAAATCATTGGTACATCTTTGATGAAATTGAATAGAAATGGGGATAATAGGCATCCCTGACAGACACCACTAGTTGTCACCATTTCAGATAACTCACCATAAGTTCTCACCTGGCTGGCTGGATAAGTTCGAGTGGAGTGCCGTGATCAGTGCAATGTATTTTCTCGGCATTCTCTTTACAGCCATGCATACACATAGTACTTCTCAGTCGACAGAATCGAATTTCGCCTTCAGGTCAAGAAACATAACGATTGTTGGATGGCGACGGTAAGTATGCCTATGTTCCAGAATCTGTCGAAGGGTGAAGATATGATCAATACACCCTCTTCATGGTCTAAAGCCTGCCTGGCTCTCTCGTGTTTGTGCCTCCCAAGCACCACTTAGTCTACGCATGATTATTGAGCCTAGGACTTTAGATACTATATTAGTCAAGCTAATCTCTCTGTGATTATCACAGGAAGACTCGTCTCCTTTCTTGTATATCGGGATGATCAGTGACTTACACCAACCCAACGGGACTTCCTTTGATTTCCAGACGCTGCCTAATACTTCAGTTAATACAGACAATAAACTGTCCCCACCGTACTTAAATACCTCTGGAGTCATTCCATCAGGTCCTGCTGCTTTGCCTAGTTTCAGATTGGTGACAGCTTTAGTAACCTCAGTTAGGGATGGAGGACCTGTGTCTATACCTCATTCAGGGAGGTGTTGGATGTT